ACGATGGACGAACGCAGGCGTTGGTGTTCCGGAAGATTGAGAAGGCGTTCGAGCTGTATGCGTTTGAGGCAGTTGCGGCACAACGAAGGTTGAGGAGATTGGCGGCGCGGGTTGAGGAGTTGAAGGCGGAGAGGGAAAGGGAACGGGCTAGCGGGGAAGAGAGTGAGGGGGAGAGTGATGAGGAAAGTGTGAAGGTTGAGGGGGAAAATGAGAAGGTTGAGGGGGAAAATAAGAAGGTTGAGGGGGGGCGTATTACGTGTGCGAACTCAGCTGCGTAGTGGTTCGGTTGTGGAAGGGAGGCCGTTTTTATACGGTTCTGGGAGCCATCGATTGGACGGTGGAACTGAAGGAGATTGCCAGACAGATGACATGGCGATGCCAAAACTAGAGTTGGGGATGCGTTGGAGGGGTTACGGTACAACAGTCCTGTCAGTCAGTGGACGGAAATGGGGCCTGTGGTCGGCCCGGGTACATACAGGCGGCACTACATTTGAGGTGGTTACAAAGGACGCTGTCCGCATCTATCTACCCGCGAAACAGCCAACTCAACGAGTCCGATATGACCCATCTTGAGAAACTTGGGCTGCCTGGTTATCAGGCCCTCACGAAACATACCTACTGGCCTAAAGAGCAGCAAGACAGATACCGCCGACACCGGCAACGTATATATCAAGATATCCCTACATACTCAACGTCAGCGTTATGTTCCCCAAAACTGTCAGGATCAGCCCAGGCCTCGTCAGCGGCGCCAGTGGCACCACACACAACTTTGCATGGCGTGCGGGTACCAATGCCTAGAAAGAACCACCTTTCTTGATGATCAATCAATATATATATATATATTTATCACTTTCGATGACTATCTCCGCTCGGCCTCTTTTGATGACCATGATCTCGCCGTCATACTGCCTACCTAGGTATGTTCCACAGCAAAACCGACAAGGAGGCGATGAGCATTCTGACCGGGCGGGTGCGAGTATTGGCTTTTGAGGTTCCTCACCCCAGATTACCTCTTCCGCTTCTGTTACCTTCCACACCCTCATTAACTTGGTGGTATCAGATAGTTACCAATCACGGCCAATATCTCATCTTTCCCGGCCCCCCCTTCAATGAAGGGATGTCCGTGTTAATTCCGTGGAAGCTACACCTGACACGGTAATCACGGGCTTCTACCTATGCGAATTAGGTACTTCAGACATAATCATGAATTCATCTGACAGGGGCTTGACCGCGGGTCTTATATACGTCTCTGTCAGGGGCGTGAAAGCGCTGGAGGGTGTCACGTTTGATACCGCCTCCGGGACCTCTTCAGTGACGGCAGAAACTATATACATTCGACGGCTGAGACGACCTGATCATCTATGCCCGCGCCCTCGGCATTCTGGGCGCAAGGAAGGAGGAGGTCTGGAAATGATTTAAATTTACTCTGCTTGATTTGTGGCCGAGGTTTGAGCGACCTCCAGGCAGCGGAACCTGGAAGCGAAGAGAGGAGAGTGACTAGAAGATGTCCCCTGAATCCGCTCACCCGGTAGAGGACGAGAAGGATTCCGCCAGCCAGATTGAGAAGACGGGGGTTGTGGTGTCTAGTGATTTCGAAGACGAACAGATCACTTGCAGCTTGAGCATCCTGATTAGGGGAATATGCAGGTTTTAAATGGGAGACAAGGTGGCCTACAGACTAATACAAAGCCGAGGGAAGTTGGATCCCATCATATGCTGTTACGGATCATTGAGCTATGTAGAATACCGAGGTCCTGCTCTAAGCACAAGTAGCTGCCGAGGCTAGTATCTAGGTAGTTACAACATAGGTATCACTGACGCGGTGGGCAGGCTCTGTAGTGTAACACTGAAGCGTAACAGATGAAGTTTATTTGTGATATCCCGGTTTCAAGAGTATATTGTGACTAATTAATTCTCTCACCACGCCACCAACGTGTCGTCGGTCCTTGGTAATCTTTGGTCAACTCTAGAAGACAGTCGTAGGACCCAAAGACACAGACCGTATCGCTAACACCATGTCGTAATGTCGCGTGAGTTTCAAGGCGGCCTTAGCCTCGGACAAAATCATAAAAAAGATTTCATGTGGGAAAACTCCAGAAAAAAAGCCCGGTGAGACTCCTAGGTTGCAGTTGTGTAACACGCAGGAGAACTTGCCGATTTCCCGCTCCGTGTGCTACACATGCCAAGCATATTCTTTCACTTTCAGTTTGAGCCTGTCGGACCGCAGCCGTGGCTCCGTGGCTTGCATACGCCTCGGTGTTCCTGAAGAACTGATCCAAGAACCAGTGGTGACACAAAGCAGATATATCCAAACCGTCCCACCTTTCAAGATCGGATTGTGTTACTTTCGGCCCCCTACATACGATGTGCTATTATGTAGTAAATCCAACGGTCGAAATACCACCGTCCCTTTTCGTCGCGCGGCCAAAACCCGCCGGCCACCCAGGCAGGCCACAACACGGTCGGCCCGACTGTCTCTTTTTTCCTTCCTCTCCTCTTGACCGACCGATACAAATTCGCGGTGGAAAAAGTACTTGCATATCCAAGCGAGAGCGCAGGAGCACAAGAACCAAAAAGGCAGACACGCACACGCTCGCACGCCCTCACCGGGCTCGCCTGACAGGTTCGGTTATAAGCGAGTCGACCCAAGGGGGCACCAACGCCCGCGCAACTAGTCCGGGTCGCCTTGCCGGATGAGACCGCAATTCCCAGTGGCGCAGAGGATGGAACCAAGACGGCTTGTTGGTCGCCTCGCCTGACGATTTCCCAATCATCCGGCTAGACTTGCTGTTGATTTTTGGTGTTGGTCCCCGTCTGTCGACTTGTGGATGGTGGCTTGCATGAGCATCGCTCGGCTCGGGAAAATCATCGTGGTCGCAGTCGCCGTCGCCGTCGCCGTCGCAGTCGGTCGTATTCAACCCCACTGCCCCAAGCCACACGACACCCCTTCCATTTCTTGGGGAGAGAATCCAGAACACCTCCTTGATTCTTCCCGTTGAAGGCGTCGCAATAACCATGGTTCGCAAAGCCTTCCCGTGCGTCGCAGACTTCGCACTATTCTCTTCCACCAACCATTCACCTGATCGTCCCCTGTTCATCCTCCTCCCGCGAAACTCTCCCAAACAATAATTCATTAACCAGCCCGTCTCGCCCGCTTCCATCCACCTTCCGTCCTTCCACGCCAAGCCCAACCGAAGAAGCCAAGCTCTTCTCCCATTCCTCTTCTATTTTTCAACAAGACCGTGCACGTTTTATTCCCGGTCCTCCCCGATCGCTTTCACTGGCATCTTTTCTACAGGACACCCCCTCCCCGTCCCCTCCCCTTCTCCCGACTGCTGATACGGCATAAACCCGGAATTACAGCGTTCCATCGGCCGATGCACACACAACGGACTGCCCTGACAAGCCTGATCGGACTGGACTGACTGACTGAGACTGCCTGCCTGACGGACGATCCCATACCCCGGACACCTGTCTGTCACCTGCAAAGTAACTTTGAACACATGCGCCCCACAGGCCGAAGCCGAGACCGAGTCCACACGAGCAAAAGAATAATTAGAAAAAGTAAAAACAGAGATAAAAAAATTAACCCTTAAAACACCATGCCACACAACCAGCGTAGTCCATGCCACGCCTAACACGTGCTAAAACCGCAGCGAAGAAACTTATCTCCCCATCCATCTGCTTCGCAAAAGCCCAGTTGAAGAACCCCCCCCTACCCCCAAAGCCATGGAGATCGCGCAGCGTAGTAAGACCTAACCACCGACTAACAAAGAAACGGGAAGGAGGTGGGGCGGGAAGAGCGGGGAAGACCCGTGGACCCCCCGTCCGCCCGTCGCCTGCCGCTGGCACCCAAGCACCCAAGGCACCCCCCCCCCCCCAAATGGAATCATCCGTCTAGGATACGTTACATGACATGTGCGTCCACACACGGTCCAACGAACGAACGAGCGAACGAACTCACCACCAATGTATTGTTTCTTGGCGTGCAGACACGTGGGATGAGACGGTCGAGGAAGAGAAAGAGAAGGAGAATGGAGGAGTTTGGGGGCTGGGTTGCGTGATCGAGGGGAAAATCTTGAATTTAATTATTGGTTCCTTTCTTGGCTTCGATCAAGGGCTGAAGCCAAAGTTACGATACGAAGAGTCCATTAGTTGTAACAATATGCAGAAATATTTGAGAATGATTTTTACCATAACCACCTTGATGATTGCGGTTCAACATCACCAACCTAAACAAAACCACAACTCCATACGGAGTATTTAGCCCATCTCCAAACGCATAACCAGCTCAAACAAAAACCAAAATTTGAACCGTGGCTGAGTCCTCCCTCAAACCAACCTCGACGCATAACAATGTAACTGTCTTGAGTCTCTTGGTCGAGTTACGGTCTTAAGACCCGACTCCGTCTCAAGTTTCCCGCCCGCTGTTTCAATGCACCCAACCTCATGTACTAACCCGACTTGTTTCCAAAACTCGTACCTTTCTCTCTGCCACATGGCCGGAATACCCGGGCCGGTGAGCCACAACCAACAGACATGCTGTGTGGCCACGCACATTCGCCGGTTTTTGCTTCAGCCCCCGAGTTTCTGACCGGTGTTTCAAGACACTTCCCACGTGGGTGGCGGGGATTGATTCAATGCTTTCAGCTATTACTATGGGTTTTGCTATGTATAGTCTTAAATGGCTCATCCACACAATCCTTGCTACATGCGTCATTACAAGTGATGCTAATGCGTTATACGTACGCACATATCTACCGTTAGTTGTCTGAGAGTTGAGGAAACAAGTCCGAGAAACGAAGAAAAATTAGAGAATGATTCACTCTCTCTGGTATCTCTGTGTGCGGCAACTGGGAAGCCATGTCGAAACAGAACGCTGATACTTTTCCGAGATGTCCAAAAAAAGAAAGCCACCATCCGTGCCATGTCCAATCCAGCCAATCCCCGCACACCTCATGCCACACTCAAAACACATCGTGAGAATCCCCGACGCATGTTTAGTAGGCGTAGCGGAACTTCTTGTTCTCTCTGTCCGTCATGTTGGACCACGCCTCAGGCGACATGTAGGCGTCCTCCTGCTCACCCTCCGAAGTCCGCCTCTTGTTCTGCCAGACATAGTACAGGAACAAAAGGAACGTGGTCACGGCACAAGCGGCCTGGGTGGCCATGACGGCGATCTTGGCGGGGCGGAACTCGGGGGCGTCCTTGGCTTGGAAGGTCTGGGGGCCGATGATGTTGCCGAGAGAGAAGGATCCACTGATGATGGCGGCGGCGAAAGCACGCTTAGTGGCGCCACCGACGTTGGCCATGATCCACTAGAGATCGACATGTTAGCCGATGACAAGTCACGGCGAGGCATAGGGCATGGCTTACGTTGTAGAAGATGGCTAGGGGAGCAACTACCGCGTTGACGAGGTAGATACCGGCCAGGCAACCGGCCTTGTTGGTGCTGGGAAGGAACGACATCAAGCCGCCACCAATGATGCTAAGGTCCGCTGTTAGTACCTTAATGAGACGGAGGACACGGGTCTGTTGGCAACATACGCAGGAACGATGCACGCAAGGATGAAAGCCCAGCGATGGGACTGCAAGCGAATACCGAACCCTACAAACAGAGTGAAGAAGATGCTGATCGCGCCTGACGGAGTGTTCATCAGAGCGGCCTTCTTGGGGTCGTTGTCCATGAGGCCCCGGATGAGAGTCGCAGAGTAAGTAGTGACGACACCGCTAGAAACGGAGAGCTGTGGAGCAGCGTCAGCACATGTTATATCCATATCATACTCGAACATGCCACATACCAGCACCACAGACACCAACAGGAGGTAGATTTGGGGGTCCACAAGAGCCTCAAAAATCTCCTTGGCGCGGAACTTGCGGTTTTCGATACCGGTCTGGTTGACGCTGACGTGCCTGAGGAGTGCGCGCTTCTCACTGTCGGACATCCAGCTAGCCTTCATCGGGGTATCCGGGAGGAAGAAGATGACTGAGGCACCGGTGAGGACGGTGATGACACCAAGCACCACAAACATAGTCCGCCATCCGGAGAGCTGAGCATCGGGGCTCATGTTTTGGAAGCCGTAAGAGACGAGACCACCGATGATCTGGCCGATACCGAGACCGGTGTACCAGAAGCAGAAACGAGGAGCCTGCTCCGACTTGGTGTACCAGTGGCTGCTGATGAGCATGAGCGAGGGCGCGATGGTGGCTTCAAAGATACCCAGGAAGACACGCGAAACCAGCAGAGTCTGGTAGTTGTGCGCGGCAGCGCCGCAAGCGGTGGCTACGCCCCAGAGCGTGACGTTGATGCCGAGCCATTTGGCCGCGGGGAAAATCTGCAGAAAGTAGGCTGAGGGTGAGGCACACCGAGAATTAATGATGAGATCTTCTACTGGGCTAGGTCCAAGGAATGGATGTCTTACTGTTGGGGATCTCAAAGAGCAGCAGACCAACGAAAAGGTATGTCGCGAGGTTAGAGAAGTCGTTTCCTTGAAGGTTAAGGTCCTTGTTCAGGCCCATTACAGCGCCATACTGCATTGGTTGGGAATCACTGTGATTAGCCGCGATTCGTACACAGCCTGGGCGCGCACGTGGTGTTCAGGAAGATGGTGTGAACCAGCCACTTACGTTGAGAATGACCTTGTCGAGAAACTGCAGCGTGTAGCACAGGAACATCAACGGCACGATGCGCCAGTCAATCCGGCGCCGCAACGCGGCCATGTCAATGGCTTCGCCAGCGTCCGCATCGCGGTGGGCGTCGAGGTACTTCCACGCGGAATCGAGTTCGCCCGAGACCTCTGCTACCGACGACGCCTCGTTCACGTCGACCCGCTCCTTCGTGCTGTTCTTGTCCGACGTCGTCGACATGCCGGGCGGTTGGAGTGCGAGTCTGGTTGGTTGGTGGTGTTGATGTCTGAGCGAGCGCAATGACCTCGCGGCAGGACCGCCAACAATTAAGACTGACGGGAAGGGCGAGAACGTCCCGCGCACGCAGCAGATGTCGGGAAAGGCGGGGGGCGACGGCAAAAATGAAATGCTTCGGTCAAACAAAGGGACGGAGGAATCCCGAAGGGGAGCGGCGCGCGTTACTTTGACGGAAAGATCGGCAAAACCGGCCTGATGCCCACGAGTTCGGCCGCAGCGTCCAGGGAGTAACTATGCACGGGAGAAGCTGTCGAGAAGAAGAATATCAGAGGAGGAGAAGATCAACCACCATCTCTCGCCACGCAACAATATTAAAGAGGATAAAAATGTCTGTGAAACGTGGGCCCAATGCGGGACTTCGTGAAGAAGGGGAATAAAAACTTGAAGTTCAAACGGAGGCAGGCGAGATGGTGCATATGCTGTTGGCACTTTCCTCCGCCGAGCGAGCCATTCTCAAATCCCCAGACGCGAACGAAGGCGAATTGGGCCGGACGGGCATGCCGGGGTCGGGGTTCTTTCCCAACTGACCGGGCGAGTCTGCCCCTCTCGGCCCCTCGAGAGTCCTGATGCTGCAATTGATTCGATAGACAGGACGAATCTGGAAATGGCTGTAACCAAAGTCCAAATCAATGCACCGTCGTGCCTGGGCACCTGGGGAACCTTGCTGGGGGTTGAAGCAATGTCTGCGAAGGCAAGTTCGATTTTGGGGGCAAGAACCACCAAGGGGCATCGGCCCATCGCAACGCGAAGCTCGGACGAGGCCAGGATGTGGGGCCTTTTCTTCCCCACCCCTCGGCCGTCCCCTGACCCTGTTCCTTCTCACTCTCACACCCTCTCCCGCTCGACTCACCCCACACCACCCCCATGCTTCGCTTGCGAACCCTGGCCCCGGCTTCATCGTTCCCCTACCTTTGAAGGGAGTTGCGGGACTGGCTCCGCCAACGTCTGCTTCGGTTCCTCCCCGGTCGGAACCTTCGGTGCCAAGACGGCACAAGGCCACAGATTGGAACACCCGAGGACAGGCGGCCACAGGCGAGGAAGGTGAGGGACGGCCGCAGAGCGGTCGTGGAAGCTGCCCCCCAGCGTCGCCAATCACTAGCTTCGAGGGTTTCGCTCTCGAGTTTTGGACCACACATCCTGCAGCTGGAACTCCTGGGCGTGCGTTCTTCGGGACGGGAGGGCCGGTGGTGGCAGATTCTCGACACTAACAGATTAGTGTATGGTGGGAGAGGAGGGCTCGAGAAAACCCGGGGAAGGAGGGGAAGACCATTCAAGAAATCACCAAGCACGCAACCTCGACAACATTTGAGTTTCGTGCTTGTGTGTGTGGACGTCTTCCCTTCATTACACAGTACGGTGCACTGTGTCTCGATACGCGCCTTGCAGCACCGGGCAGGCACCTCATCGGCAAGTTCGCAGCTGCCAGCTTTCGGGGTTTTCGCGGCGGCCACCCAAATGCCCCGACATAACCCAAGGACAATGGTGGGTGTCTTCTGCGATTGGCTTCCCTCGCCTCGGCATGTCGCAATGCGGCCGGGGTTGGCTTGGTGCTGAGAACATTTTGCCCTCTTTTCCCCCCACCCTTGGTCCTCGATACTGTCAGCGTAACTGTCATGGGTCGCCTGCTGTCTCATCACAGTCCTTTCCCGCCCATCCGCCCCGTCCATCGGTACACTCCAATGTCGATGTGATCCACCCTGAACTCTTTTTTTCTTCTTCGGGTGCGTTGTGGATAAATCCGTCCCCCTCAAACCTCCTGTGGTCTTCGGAACCGGAATCAAGAGAAGCAGGGGCTCGAGGGGCCTTGTCGTGACCATCCATTCCCCTTGACCTCACAAAGGAAGCCGTCTTTAGGTTGACGCGCAGTGTTGATCTCCCGTCCGAGTCCATTCACACACTCCTTTTTCACACACCCTCCTTCTTCCACCGGCACTTGTCGATCACTGGTTGCGTTTCCTTTTTCCCCAGACCTCCCCCCCAGCGTTGTTCGATCTTCTTTCCTTCCTTCCCCCCTCCAGGCGTTTGAACACCAAAAAAGAACCACACGAGGCTCCACAACCCGCAAGGGGCGCTGGTTCGACGAAACCGACCGAGAACGCTGTCGAACGAAGAACGAAACGAACGACGAGTCCAGCAGCAAGATGGTTTGGGTTGACAACACGACCCCCGAGGTCGATGCCATCTCGCAATGGCGGATGATTGTTGCTATCTGCAGCGTCCTCTCGGCTTTCTCTATCATCATCGTGTGCTCTCGGTTATGGATCAGGCACAAGAACCACGGGTTGGCCGCTGACGACTGGATGTCGATATTGTCCATGATCTTCGCCCTGCTTTACTCTCTCTTATGCATCGTCCGTACGTGCACCCTGCCGGCTTTCTTTAATTGTGTTTTCCCTTCCCTCAAAACTAGGTGGCCTTGAAAACGAGAGTCTAACGACTTATCTAGAAACTAAATTTGGTCTGGGGCTTCCTCTTCGCCTACGCCCGGAAGCCAGCTTGGTCTCGTACACCCGCACCAACTTTGCCGGCCGACCCATCTACCAAGTGGGCATCAGTTTCTTCAAGGTTGCCCTCTTGATCAGTTACCTGCGCCTGTTTAAAGGGACCAGCCATGTGGTCTACCGCCGGGTGGTCTGGATTACCATGGCCCTCATCTTTGCTGCGCACTTGGGGTGCGCGCTGAGCCTGATTTTTGCCTGCAACCCGGTAAGATGCGTCATCTATTCAGAAAGACGATTTGAGAAGAACACAATGTTCCCTCGCGTCACACCGCTTGTACCACAAACCTCAGACACTGACGTTGTACATCGGTCCATAGGTCAACAAGTCATGGGACCCGGCAGTTGCCGGCACGTGCCTGGCTCCGGGCCCGTCTTTCACTGCGTACGCCATCGTCACCATTGTGTCCGACGTGCTAGTGGCTATCATTCCGATCCCTGTGCTCCTCCAGCTCAAGGTCAACACCGGCAAGAAAGTCGGCCTCATCGTCATCTTCCTGCTTGGTCTTTTCACCACCCTCTGCTCCATCTTCCGGTACACACAAATTCAGCAAATCCAAAGCGGCGATGGCAACTCGACCATGCTCATTGTTTGGGGTGTTATCGAGTTCAATGTCGGAGTAAGTTTGTTTCCTCCCAGCTAAGCGGGTAGCCGCCAGCCACCTGTTTTGAGATGTTTGTCTCACAGCCCCGCTTTCACCCCGGCGGCACCCGCACCCCCCCCGCTCTTGTCCGAAGAAGCCACGAAAACAAGTTTCCGAAATCAGCTAACCGCCCCAACCTTTCTCGCTCAACAGAACGTCGTCTCATCCCTGCCCTTCCTGGCGCCTATTTTTCTTCGCAAAGCTAAGCAGTATCGGACTAAGTACGCCGGCGGCAGCGCGAACGCCTACGGCAGCGGCGGCCGCAAGATGGGCAAATCCAACGAGGCGTACAAACTCAGCAGCATTCACTCCAGCCAGCACAAGGGGGGCGGCACCTTCGCCACTGCACAGGGACAGAGCACCGGCAGCGAGGAGAACATCCTGAAATCCAGCACCGAGCAAGCGCCCGAGAATACCATCATGAAGTCGGTCACGTACAGCGTGCGGGTAGACTGATACGAGGAATCGAGTGCGAGAGCGAGTCCGAGTCCAGTCAACTGAGACAAACCGATGGAGTTTTCCTTTCCCCGAGCCCCGACAGCTGCGCGAAAACCCCGCGCGGGGTGATCTGTGGCAATGCGGGCATAATGTGTATGAGTTGGTTTCTATCCACAACACTGATAGAGAGATACCTTTTTTGCTCCTCAAAATGGCGCGGCAGAACGGCGACCGGCGTATAAGGGGGGGTTCTTTTGGCTTATGTTTATTGCTTGGGCGGCTGGCTGTGTTTCAAGGATTAATCGGGGAATGGGAACGGTTCTGGTTTTGGCTTTTATTTTTGTTCTTGCCCAGCCTAATCGGTTGCGGCGTTGGCTTTGGGGATAATTTTTGGTGAGGGACAGAAGGGGTTTTGGAACGCCGAAATGTGTAACATACTGCAGTCACGACCTTTTTTTGCGAGTTGCAAAAACAACAACTTTCCACGAAAATGGTACATACAAGATCATGACAACTGCGCAAGAACGGTCCAGTGTTACAAGGTGGCAATGTGTGTCACTCGAAATGCAGAAGGATCGATCTTATTCAAGACCCTGCAAAAAATCCTTTTTCTTCTATTCCTACACTAGGTCGAAGTTCATACTTCCAGTTGTCGTCGACACAAACTCTGCGATGCCGAAAAAAAGCCCCGCATCAACAGAAAACAAGCTCCGACCAAGTGGACAAAACCCGATAAGCAGCGGCCAAAGCCAGCCAAGCGTCGGAGATCGCCTTGCCCGCCTTGCGATTGCGCTTAGGCCTAGCGGCGGCCAGCGGCCAGCTAGCTTTTAGAAGGCAGTTGAAGCCAAGTCGAAGCCAAGAGACAGGAACCCTGCCCCCTATTCCCGATCCAGGATGCCCGGTTTTGTTCCTTCCTTCCTTCCTTCTTCGCATCGAATCGCATCTTGGATTTTGTCTGTGCTTTGTTCCTGCCCCCTTCCAAATCATTAGCGGTCGGGATCTTTTTTGGTTAAAATACACCCCTGTTCCTTGATCGACCGTCCCGATACTCCGCCCCACCCCCAGCTACGACGAATGGGCGATCTTTTGCCTTTTTTATACTTTTTTCCAAAGACTGGGAAGAGGTTTGGCCGATTCGGTCTGTTCTGAGTCCTGTTTGGCTCGGACGAAAGCTGGGCTGGGGTGACCCCCGGGACCATTGTGGTGGGATTTGGGTCAGGCACGAGATCGGATTGTGGGTCAAAACTCTGTTTTTCGTGACTGTGTTCTGCTGTGGCTCTGCATGTCTCTTTAGTTGTTTAACCTGAATGCCGTGGTTGGCCGTGTCCTTTCACCGGTTGACTTTCAGCCTCTGAGTGCATGCTTCAAGTTGACTGTTTTGGAACAAATTGTTGAATCTTCCGTGCAGTTTCCGTAGCACAATGGCTGCAGCATAGAGCCAACAGAATGTTCACCTTTTATTGTCATTCTATCCAATTGCCTCCCTATCCGTTTAACCAGCCGCTGATGACACGACAACTCTCCAACTCAAAACGTGCACACAGCCAGCCAGCCAGTGCTCAGATCACCAAACCCGTCACTCCCTCAGCGCTCGCGCTGGTCGCCAAAGCACCGGCATCCATATCCGCCTCGTCAAACGTGAGATGCATGGCGCGGCGGCTGAGAAGCGGGCTGGCGTCGCGGATCCGCGCCCATTGGTGCGCGTCAATACAGGCCTGGCGCGACGCCAAGACGGCCGGGCGGGCGCGGGCGACGACGGTGTCTTCATACCGGTCAAGCGCCGCGCGAAGGGAGCTGGCCTGTGCAGAAGCAGTTTCTGCTGGTGTTTCGGAGGAGAGGAGATGCGGCAGGACGATCTCAGAGAGGTCGAGGACGTCAATGATCGCGTGATTAGCACCCTCGCCCCGGTCTAGGGTAGACATGTTTGTTAGTCGGGCATGTCGAAAAGGGGAAAACGAAGCCAGGATGTGGCCACCAAATTATCTGAGTATGCTCAGATATGCGGTGGGGTATGTAGCTTCGAAACAAATTTTGAGGGCGAGTCAGGTAAGAACTTACACATAGCCATTGGGTGCAGGGCATCCCCTACGAGAGCGACACGGCCCGTGGTGCGCAGGTTTTTGGGCGGCGGCCAGTCATACAAGTCGAGCGACTTGACCTCGCTGCTGCTGGGGATGCTGAGGGCAAGCGTCCGGAAGGGCTCGGCCCATGTTTCAGCGAACGTTTTGATCAGCGCTATGCGGCCCTCGTTGGTATCCGGGAAGGCGATGGGCTCGGGCTGGTCGAAGAAGCCCTTGCGGATCGGCCACGAAACAACCATCTGGCAGCTGTACTTGCCGCCGTTTCCTTCTGGAGTGTTGTTGGGGGCGTCAAGGACTGTTGGTGTTAGTCCAACCCCGCTGTTGGCGAATCGTTAACATCTGCTGCACTTACCACTGATGTACACAAACGAGTCATTCTCAGACGCAGCCCCTTGGAGGAAGAAAGGGTCAAGCTGCCGCAAAGGCTCAATCTCCTCTGGAGTACAGTCCATCCGCACACCCAATAATCTCACGGGGATGTGGTGTTTCTGTTGCTCAGGAAACAGCAGCCCGCGGATCCGCGAGCTTCCGCCGTCGCAGGCCACTGCAAAACAACCCTCACAGGACGTCCCATCGTCAAAGCTCGCCGTCACGGTCCCATCTTCGCCAGTCTTGATACTACTGACTGCTTTGCCCCACTATGAAATGGCGAAACAAGCTCACGGGGAGAGGCAGAGGTTAGCCACAAAACGGTCCGAGCCCAGGTTGTCTCAGTTATCCCCTTAGACCGACAGGACTATCTTGAGTTCAAGTACGAACGGGGAAGGTCACATGCCTTAATATCAAGGTCCGTTGCCAACAACCTGCGCAAGCGGTCGCGCGTGACGCGAATGCGGTGCGACTCCGTGGCGGTCGGGGTCTTAGCCTTGAGCTCGCCGGTGCTAATATCGTAGAAGGGGAAAGTCGAGGGCCGGCCTTGTTCGACGGCGGCCCGGTCAACATACGCCTCCGGGAGGCGCTGCACGAGCTCCTCCGGCAGCAGAGACCGCAGCGCCGGAAGCGACCAGTGCAGGGTCAGCCCCCAGCCGATGCCCCGCGTGGCCAGGTCGGCATCCCGCTCGAAGATGAGGACGGGTCTGTTGCTGCCCGTCTTGCGCAGGTACTGTGCCAGCAGCAGGCCGCTGAGCCCGGCGCCGAGGATGAGGATCGGTTTCTGGTCCGTGGTGCTGCCCATGTTGTTTCGGGGTCTCTTCTCGTCTCAGGATCACGGAGGAGGGTGGGTGTGTGGAAATTCGTGGCTCAGATTGGCCACAGGGCTTATTTGCTCACTCACGCAAGGACAAAAATGAGTTCTCTTTGGGTCTGGACTGTGTGTGTCAACCGTCAATCATGCCCTATTTACTGTGGTACTGTGGTACGTTTGCTTATGAGCAGGTTTCGCCGGAGCACTCCATTTCTTGTCTGTCCATGTCGTTCCTGTTTTTGCGGGGAATTCCCACCACAGTAGTGTGTGTCCAGTTTCGCTCCACCCTTTTGAGAGGAACATCCATGGTCGGCACCGAGCCGAACACAGGGACGATGCTTGCGAAATGGATGGGGAATAGTTAGAAAAGGCCCCATCATCAGGGATGCTGCTCCTGGGACCAATGTACCCGAAAGAATCCATGTGTGTGTCCACCGCGGCCACATGCCAGGCCAGGAAAGTTTCTTCTCGACGCATCAGATGGAAAGGTCGATCATGGAAGCGACAGAAGGAAGTAGACCAGGCCTGCGGGCGCAATGCCCAGATGCAACGAGCCAATATGTTGGTGGGGACCTCTGCAGTCGCTGCCAATTGGCAGTAGTGTCCGCGATAGCTTGCATTTGAACCGAACTGGAGAGGGAGGACTGGGAGACCCGATGTCTCGGTCACGTCCGTTGCATGGCCACCCGCACAATGAACGAACTGCCTTCGCTCGCTGTCATGGAAATGGGATCGCGTGGTCAAGAGACGTGGGGCGTGGCTGCTCTCGACGGTACCAGCCTGCGATAGCGGGGGAAGCGGGGCAGCGACTCAGTGCAGGTGGTTGTCGTCGGTAGGAGCTCCCGAGATAGGTAGAGGGGTGGGAAAGGTGTTCTGAGTCGTCCTGAGTCGTCGGGGTCCACAAAGCACCCAAAAAAAATCCCGCAGGGGAGAAACGTCTCTTCAGAGCTCCGATTTCACACAAAACGTTCAATAGTCACGGCAATCCCCCTTCGGCCTGCAAAGATGCTCCCGAAAAGCTTCCCGCCAGAATTCTTCGAGCCATGGGATTCTTCTCTCGGAGAAGTTATCAGCGGCCCGATTGGATTGGGCGGCTTTCCCGGCGGGCCGCGAGCTTTACCATATTCTGTTGCTCGATGAGCTTTTCGGAAGGAGCAAGCCACGAAGATCATCAAAGTCGATCGGCTTTGTCTGTGCTCACCACAACGCCGGCCGTCTGTGCCGGGCTTCGGAGGGACGTCTGTGCTCATTCTTCCTCGAAAACCCTGAATTCTGGGCGACGGAAACTCCGAATGGAAGTCAGCCGGGCACTGGTGACAGCGAGCGTCCATCTGAGGGAGGTGTTTTGAGTGTTGATCATACAGCTCGTGTGTCTAACTATTCCAAATCATGCTCTGCTTGTTGTTTCATCAGTGAGTCGCTGCTGGAAGAGCTGGTTTATCAACCTCTGGTCGCTCCCCGGTGATGGCGCTGGGGCCAGTTATCCCTGGTTCTGGCAAGACGGCCCGTCACAGATTCCCGCAAGTCGACCTCGTCCCCGGGCAAAACCAAAAAAAGACTTGCGACATTGCTTTTTCTGTTGTTTCGAGAACTTCGACACAACAACACCCTGGGTCCCCCACGCAACAGGGTTGATTAGCTCAGCCTTGGCGTTCTTCGATCTCTGTGGCTGGGTTTCCCCAGCATGAGCAAAGCCCTTTGAAATTCATCCCTGGACATTCTATCCGTACACCCCCACCCCTGGCCAAGCTAACGCGAACCAGTGCAAGTGCTCTGCTGCGGTCCCAAGGCCTTGTCGCTCGGTCGGCGGGTTCGAACTGGTTTCGAGCTTTGGGGGTTGTTCGGTCGGCAACACCCCCAAGGCTGGACTGGACGTTCCTCACTCCAGGGCTCTGGCACTTGCTGCCGAGGGAGTGAACATCGGCGCAAATGGGGGAACCATGCGCGTCTTCTGTTGGCTCTCATGAGATTTGTCTTGTTGTCAGACGGACCAATAGCCACAGTCTGTCCTGAAGTGCTGACCTCGCTCGCCACAAACTCTGTGCGATGAATGGCGCGAGACAGGGACTGGCTCTGTTTCGGAGTTGAAATGACAACAATGCGCACCAAGCGTTCGCAAAACTCCTCACGTTTGGCTGCACATCTCAAACCAAGGACCTTGATGAAGTTACCTCGTTGCCTAAGCTTGGAGTCGATCCAACCCCACTGAGATGTTCTTGCGAGATCCAAAGGAGGGGATGTCATTCAAGTTGGGGCCATTCACTGACCATCGCCGGGATGAGGCCAGAAACAACAGACAGACAAGCGGGGCAAATGTGGCGGATCAACAAGTCTGGACGAACAGCCGATCGACGCCGCCCCTCGGCTTGTCTCCGGCCAAAATCCGCGATCCGAGAGACATCCACGAGAAATCGAGTTGATCGAGCGTAACGGCCACGATCACGGCCGCTAGCAAGAACGAAAAGAAAAAAGCAATTGTTCCAATCGGGAATTTTGCCCGTTTGATCGACCCCTCTCTCGAGAACCACTCTGGAAAAGAGACCGCAGGCAGAAGTTATCCCCCAATCCCTCCATAACCAAAGGTCCTGTTATCTCCCTCCTTATCATCAAAAAGGGAATCGCAAGAAGAAAAAAAAACCCAGCGCACTTCGTGGGGGTTAGGTGGGTGCAAGTGGCGAAAGGATTCAATACTAACCTGTCCGAAATTACGACGGAGACAACAGCGCGGAACTGCACCTTTCCTTTCCGCTGCGTGGCGCTGCGCCAATCGAGTACCAGAAGAGAGCATTGCTCCCAGTGTGGCGTTTTTTTGCGAACTCGACTTTGAGGTTCGTTGCCGCACAACCACATGCCAGAGATACACCGTACGACACACCCACGGCAGCTGTCTCCCGTTGGTTGCGTTCCTGACCCGGGGATTTGGAAAGGAGGGGGGGTCAAAGTGGCTCAGGTAGGAGCGAAAAAGGGGCGGCGAGATCCCGACAGGCTGGTGATGGTGTGCGAACTTTTCTCTTCTGGTCTGGTGTGTCGCTGAAAAGCGACGCATTTTTCTTGTCACAGCAATCCCCGCCTGCATGAACGTTCTTCGCTGTAAAACCGCCGCCAACGCAGCCAAAAGGGGTCAATTGGCCTTGTTCGTCCTCGGTCAGTCATCGCCCCGTGTGACTGACCATTGAGATCGGGCCCGGCCGGAGCAACCGCGGGGCCATCTAACGTATCTTGTCCGTCGATTCCTCCTTCCCACTTGCACTCGGTCCGCGACGGCGCTCGGCTTTGTTTCGTCGTTCGGGTAGTTTCAGCTCCGGATTTGATGGTTGACTATGCCTACTGTGGGTTCTATTGATTCTGGGCTTGTTCCTTCGCTAGGCCTTTTGCTTGGTCCCCTGGCTTGGGGGATCTAGACTTTTTCGCCTCGTCGGTGGTCACCTTCGGTGAACCGATGGTTCTAGTAAGGTGCCGACCGGCCGCGGCCGCGGCCTATTACAGTTGCACGCCGTCCCTCTGCATGACGGGAGGGACGATTGATTTCTTTTGTGGTTGCAATGCGTCGGCGAGCGTCCTGCTAGTGCGCGGCGCAGTCAGTGGATGGCCGAGTGGCACACCCCCCCAGTCGTATAATAGAGGAGCCCAGTTGCCACATCGTCGCGTCGGCGGTCGGTGGGGAGACCTCAAAAATGAATTTCCCGACTACGGAGATAAAACTCGGAGGGGGGTCCGGTGCAAAGACTCGGTATCAACTGATGGGCAGAGTCGAAGGCGTTGTTGATGGAATTATCGCCGGTTTAGAACACTGTTCTCCCGATACAGTATACTGCTTCCCACACAGCTTGATGCGCGGTAGTTGTAGTTCGGAACCGGATAGGTTCCTGTCTATAAGCTCTGAGGTGGATATGGACCCTCCTCATCATCTTCATGACACGAAAACTACGTTAGGGTTCCTCTCATACACAACCTAGATGTCCCGTAATGGTAGATGGCGGAATTACATTCCCCTTGGCTTTGTGTTGTTCTGGTGGTTGACCTTTCTTTCCGCTGAAACCGGCTAACTTCCTAAACGCAAGCCCCATTTCTCCACCCGCTATCAAGCTAGAGTGATGATGTATAGTTCAACCGGACCCTATGAGGTTCAAAGCGAGAAGAAATGTTCCCGTAGCGTCTTGAATACTGCAACATCAGCAGATATATTACGCCAACTTGTACTAACGTCAGCTCTCTTAGCCCATGACCTAGGCGCCCCAAACCACACCGAATCCAAGATGTAATTACCTACAAGTTATTTGGTTTAAAAATTGACACTTTGACAAGGGCTTTGCTAAGGATAATCGCTATGAAACGCCGTCAGACTCTTCAGGTGGCCGAAGACAGGTAGAAGACTCAGATGGGGGGGGGGGAATCCGTCTGCCATGAGGATGTGTATGTGTTGCCGACATCCGACTGTGAACCACGGCCGCTCCCAGGCATCCCGTTCCTGAATCTCAGGTATGCGTCCCAACAGCTCCCCGCAGACCAACAAACTACTATGGATCTTCGAACCGTCTTTGGTGGCGAACTCATGATACGGAAACCCCTTTTCTAGACAAAGTCTCCATGCCCGCCGATTGAGACAACATGATTAAGGATGCCTGCAAACTAGGTATTCTGGGCTGGGACGGAGGCGAGATTTGGATCGAGCATATCCTCCACATGGCCGGCCGATAGTTGCCAGCAATGAGTCGGGGTGGAGGAATAAGGACAACAACGGATTTGGATTGAATAACTATTATATGTTGAAAGAAAAAACAACGAAAAGAAAAGAAAACAAACAATAAACGACTGTCAACAAATTATTATACTGTTTCCCGTCAAGGTTCACTTTCCGTTTGTTCTTCTTTTATCTCCTCCTTCTAAGTTTTCCCTGAACTTTCTTCTTTTTTTCTTTCTTCTTTCTTTCTTTCTTTTTTTCTTCCTTGGTGTATCTTTTAGTGCTGTTCTTTCTCACTCTTAAAAGTGTTATGGACGAAATGATGTTGAGTTCTGGGCCTTCATATCTGTCTTTGTGTAATTACAGTGGCGTCATGTGCAGGTCATGAACTAGTCAATGCAGCGTCTTCCTTTCCCCTCTCCAATCACCCACAGACGTGCCTTCTGTTTCTCGTCAAACCTTTCTACGTCCATCTCCACCATCTTGACCTTGATTTATCCACGGACTAAGAATTTCTTTTCCTATAATAACCCCCAACTTCCCCGCCATATCCAACCGCGCCCAACTATCACAATGCCATCGAACCCCAATTTTCTCCCGATCAGGGGTGATTTCGTTGGAAACTTTTCGTTGGGGTGGACTCCGGAATTCCTGTCAGCTCATGCGGGCTCCAGTGACCAGCAAGCGTCACGATCGGCCTCCGCGACCACGGCGCGAAAAGCTTTGAGAGGCCAGTTTATCGAGGCTCTCAACGTGATGATTGACAGAAAGACGGCCTCGGTATACTCCCGACGAGATAGCAAGAGCCAGTCAGCACTCCAAAGGACCCGCTTACAACCTTTCCTCTCCTCGAATTTTAGCTCCACGTATGTCGAGGATATCTCATTTCACAACTAGTCGTGGCCCACGCTTGCTCGGTCAAGAGTTTAACCGACATCTGGACCAACGCAACGGGCTCCAACGTTACACAGGGCTGCAGCAACGCGGATAAAAATACCCAAAGAATTGTACGAGAGTGGTACCATAACCGTTGTCCTCTGACTGGTGCTGGGGCGGTCCACGGGACGCACATTGTCAATATTCAGGCGATGAAATCCATGGACGACCCGGTCAACCTTTGGGAGACGCTGCAGGTTTTCTGGCCGTTGAAAGACCTCAATGTCGAAACCCTCGATATCCTGGGCCAGGAAAATCGGAACATCCTGCCCCTACACCCATTGGCCCACCACCTTTGGGATAGAAACAAGTTCGGGCTACGGCTTATTGAACATCCAACCGAACCCAAGACCAAGATATACCTCCAGGTCAACTGGTTCAAGCAGCGGGCGGGCGAGATCGAGCGGGAAAATAGGAAGGACGCGAAGCCCTGTGCCACCCCCTTCGCGGGAACAGACCTACTGGATACACAAAGGGAGCTGACCGCCGCCACGGGGGTGACTGGACGGGAATACCTTCAACATGGCGATGTATATATGCTATATAACCCCGATTGTGCAGCACGCCCACTCCCTAATATCCGCTTTCTCGAAATGCGGTACGCTGTTCAGCAGCTCTTTGCAGGCCAACAAACCGCTGAGGCCCTTCGCGTCATATTCGGAGGCGACGCACCCGACGACGAGATTGAGGGACCAGATCCAGATGAGGCATATATGCCCGCCGACTGGGACAACATGATCACCGACGCCTACGATCTCGGCATTCTAGACGACAAGAAGGAGCAGGCTTGGAGACAGTACATCCTCCGCTCAACCTATCGTCGATACTTGAACAATCTTCGAGCGACCGAGCCTGAGAGCGAAGGAGGGGAGGGCGACTAGAAGACGTCCTCTGGATCGGCTCACCCAGCAGAGTACGAGAAGGGCTTGACCAACCAACTCAAGAAGCCAAGGGTTGTGGTGCCTGGTGATTTCGAGGATGGACACTGCCAACTTGAGCACCTCGATGATGAGAATGGGTGTAATGCACGTGGAGCAGGGTCAAAAAGGAGGTGCGGCGGTGGCCCCATGTGACATGTTGCGTCGTTGTTTAAGCTCGGAAATCAGGGGCCGGATTCCGTGCATGCGGGAGAGGAGTAAGGGCAGCGACGGATTTGTGTGCTGATTTTGTAGGGGGGAATACGAATTGTAGCGGATGTGGTTTTCCGTCATCAATGCTTTCTCTTGGTGGCCTTTGAGGCCATGTAGGGCTACAATGTTGCCGCCGTGAGTCTAGAAGGAAGAGGAATATACAGAGAAGAAGAACTCGTTAAGACGAGTGAGAAAATACCTGGGTTCGTTTTGTTCTTTTCTCTTCGGGGTTGATGTGATTCTTTTTCTTTCCCTTTTCTTTCCGGATAATTTTGTTTTTCTGGTTTGTCTTCTTTTTTTCTTTTTCTTTTCTTTGATTCATGTGACTCTTTCTTTTCCTTTCTGTTTAGAATTTAATATTCCAAGCCAATTCTTTTCTGGAGAGAACGAACGGCAACGCCGTCATGGTTTCCAGGAAAAAGAACGAGGTCGTTGCTTCCCAAAATGCACCATCCAATCACAACGCCAAGAGAGCTCACGTTGGAGCCTGTGGACCCACACAATCCATCTCGGACATTTGAAACCCCCGACATGTCATCTCGTCGGCCATCAGCCCATCAACAAACTCAGTCATGAAAACATCGCTCACCACATTCTGAAATCCCTTCCCACCGCGTGTCGACGAAAACATGGCCTCAACCCCAGCCCCAACACCACCCTTCACCCATCCAACATCAGTCACTCAATCACACGCAGAACCCACCACAAACACCCCGTCCCAAACTCAACCCCCCAACAGCAAACCCCCTCGCATCCACGCTTGCCTACCCTGCCAACAACGCAAAGTCCGCTGCGACCGCAACTTTCCCTGCGCACACTGTATCCGCGCCGGACCGGAGATTGCCTCGCGCTGTGTGCCCGCGTCACAACTGCCCAATCGCCCGCCTCGGCGCCGTCGGTTTGCAGAGCGTGAGCTGTTGGATCGGATAAGGCGGTATGAGGGGTTGTTGAAGGAGAGGGGGGTGCGGTTTGAGCCGTTGCATCCGGAGTCAACGGCGGATTCGCCCGCGGTGAGAGGGGGGAGTGTGGGATTGGGGGAGGATGACGGAGGGGGGGAGTTAAGGGCGGAAGAGGGCCAGGTAGTGACGCCGGCGTCGTTGGGGGGACCGGAGGTTGCGGGGAAGGGGTTGCCGACTCGTCGAGTGGAGAGAGAGGATGTGGGGAGTAAGGAGAGGACGACGTAAGTTTGGGATAGACGGTGTTGGTTGGAGGTTTGTTGGTTTGGAACGGATGGCTGATATTTGTGGTGATTAGGAACCTCTGGCAAGCTCTCAGCCAAAAGGTGCGTGATTAATCCACATCAAGGCCGCACATGGTTCTAGAGAAAACCGGTCTAACTTTGGCAGAACTATGAGCACGAAGGCGTCGCTGATGACGACGACGACATATCGGACGAACACTTGCCACGTGACAACGACGACGACATGAGCACCATCATTAGGACCGCATGGGATCGCACCCATAATAACGCCCCGGACACCGCCCACCACTTCCTATTCGGGTCGCCGGCCAGCACGGTCGCTGTGGCGGCCATGCATCCGGACCAGGCCCGGATCTTCCGGCTCTGGCAGTTTTATCTCGACAATGTCAACCCGCTGCTGAAGGTCACGCACACGCCGACGCTGCAGGCGCGCATTATTGATGCGGTGGGGAACTTGGGAAACATCAGCGCGCCGCTGGAAGCACTGATGTTTAGTATCTACTGCGTCGCTGTGCTGAGTTTAACGGATTCTCAGTGTGAGAGCCTGTTGGGGTCTCCGAAGCGGGATCTCTTATCCGGATATCAGTTTGCCTGTCGACAGGCTCTGCTCGACTGCAACGTGCTCCAGTCCAGCGACCACGACTGTCTCACAGCGCTGTTCCTCTACTTGGTACCGTTACTCTCTCGCTCCTGAATACGAGACTCGGAGAGTCGGAGAGAACACTTCTAACTCTTGGTGAACTAGGTCTCCATCAAACCTACCACCGACCCCCGGGCTCTCTCGTCCCTGGTCACCGTGGCCATCCACGGCACCCAACGCCTCGGCTACCACCGCGAGGCCATGAATGCAAGCCGCCCGGCTCTCGAAGGCGAGCTGCGCCGCCGACTGTGGTGGTCGCTCGTGTCCTTCGAGCAGCGTGTCTGCGAGACATACAACCACCGCACCAACACGCTGTCTGTGGTCTGGAACTGCCACGTTCCGCTCAACCTCAACGATTTCGAGCTTCTCCCGGGAACCACAACGGCCCCACTCACCCATGATCGACCCACAGAAGCGCTCTTCGTGCTCTTGCGCAGCCAGCTGGCCGACTGTCTCCGCCGGGTTCCGTTCCACCTCGGCATCACCGACCCATACCTGGCCACGCTCGCGCCACCACCCGACGCGGGTAACCAGGGAAGCCCCGCTAACTTCGGCGACATGCAGCTCGCGCTGGAAAGAACACTATCCTTATGCGACATTGACCACAACCCGCTGCATTTCACCGCCGCATGGACGGCCCGCGGGTTCCTGGCCAAGTGTCTGTTACTAGAGTACTCCACGCGCCAGCACGCCCGTCACAACAACAAGGGGGCCAAGGCTACGGCGAGTATTGGCCCACGGGGCGAGCATAATAGGGGAGGAGCAACCGAAGACGAAGAACAAGACGAAAAAGAAGAAGAAGAAGACGAACAAACCGGCCTCAACCACGCCCTCACCATGCTCCGCTGCGACACCACCCTGCTCTCCTCGCCCATGACGTTCCCTTTCCGCTGGTATATCCAGTGGTATTTCCCTTTTCTTGCATATATCTACATTGTGCAATATCTTATTGTCTCGCGGCCGAGACAGCGTTCTTCTGGACAGGAACAAAACCGGGGACAGATACGACAGTCGCGGCAATGGCCGGGGAAACAACCACAACAAAAACAACAACAGCAAAAAGGCTGTGGTGGTACGTCTAGATCCCCCAACAACAAAAACGACGGGGCCGACTATGCGGCTATTTCCAAGCGCTGCTGGGACGCGATGAGCGAGAATTACGAGGCGCGGGGTAAGGTTATGGATTTCACAGGGCGCGAAAACAGTGGCAGCGGCGGTCTTGGAGAGGACGAGAGTAAACGGTTCGAGCCGCTGTACCGGCTGTTCGCGGGGGTCATTCTTCGGGGCTGGGACCAAATCTCCCGGGTTGGAAGTAATGGCCGCAACGATGGTGGTGATAATGGAGGGGAGGGGGAGAATGGCATGGAGGTGCCGCGGATCGTGGCGGGTATGAGAAAGCGATTGCGGGAGATGCAAGCTGCTCAAGGTGGTGGCCACCCGGGAATGGGCGGTGAGGGCGGTATCAGTGGTGGTGGTAATGTGGGAGTGCAGACAGGAGCGGGCATGGGGATGTCAGGAATGGGAATGGGCGGGGGAATGGCGGGTGATGCTGTTGGTATCGGGGCGGATGGTGGAGGGCAGGGTTTCATGGGGTTGGTAATGGACCAAGGAGGGTATTCGATGGATCTGATGATGGGGGATGGGCAGATGGGGTTTGGGGATATGCAGCAGCCGTTTTGGCCGGGCGCGGATTGGGTGATGTAAATGGGGGAGAACAATGAAAAAGGGAAAGAAAGGAAGATAAAAAGGTCCTGGGAGTTGGAAACATTTGGACATTTTATACATCGAAGTCCAAGGTTGCTATTGGAATAGGAAGAATCAATAGGAGAAATATATAGCGAATAGAGTTTCAGAACTCAACGTACTCTTACGATTGATCGTATATATTGTGGCGGAGAAGAAAGTGGAAAGGAGGCCGATGATAAATCACTGTGTAGGTTTTGACTCGATGGGTGAAATCGGGGAAAAAAAGGTGCAAGAAAGCTTTTCTTATCAAAACCCGTGAATCTGTGGATGGAAGGAACGCTGTTGAGCCTGAAAACTTAGTACCATTACTATTGTTTGTTCCATGGGTTACTGTGACCGATGCAGGCACGTGTTGGGTGCCCTGAAACTTTTTTTCGGGGCACGTAGAGACTTCATCGCACGAGGAAAGCACGTTGCCCGGAACAACTGAAAGGTCGGCGCACGTACACGTACATACATGACGCCCCTACCAGCTGCAAGTTTAGCAAAAGGTTGTTACGGGCATGTAATTATTCTTCGTTTGGGGTTTCGGCTTCGTTCTGAATACACCCCGGGTGCTTTGGCGGTTGGAGGAGGTCTTAACCGGTATTGTTAGTGGTAAAGTATTCAATAGGTGTTACATTTTGAACACTTTCTAGGGCGTGTTTGAGTATTTCATATATATTACGTATTTTGCGGTAAGATAAGCGTCTACGTGTAGGAATGGCTTTGATCTCTTGGATCACAGACCCTCATTACATGCTCGCAGCGCTGGGATGCATTCGTCTTGTTACCTATGCAACTCTACCTAGATAAGGTAGATAAAGCCCAAGCAACTTCGTGCATTTCGTCGTCACTCCCAAGTAACTCAGAGGTCAGTGCGGGGCTTTCACTTGATTATCTCTGCTGATAAAAAGGACCCTGACCTCAGTACCTGATCTTTTGACTCCCCTTTGTTTTCTTCTCTTAGCCACTTCTTTCTGGACCCACGATTCTGTTCACTACTAATTACACTTTCACTTCCCCTGGACTTAATTAAGAGCCAAGAGGCAATCACCACGATGGACACGCCCAATCCGCTTCCTCCGATCGAGGGCAAGTTCATCGGGAATTATCCCATTGGTTGGGTTCCTGATGCCCCTGACATTGCCGGCACCGTTCCTGGTCAGTCACAATCGCCGGCGACTCCCCGACCAGAGTCCCCAGAGACCCCAGAGGCCCCAGAGACCCCAGAGACCCTCGAGATCCAGGACAGCACAGGGATCACGGAGGCTTGGGAGACTTTAGAGACCCCAGAAACCTCAGAAACCCCCGACGTCTCAGAGGCCGGTGAAGCCTGGGAGACCTCGAAGACTCCAGAGACCTCTGAGATCTCCGAGTCCCCGGAGACGCGCGACGAGTGGGCTATAAAATGTTTGAAAAAGGCGTTCGCAGAGGGGATACAAAAGGAAATCGACGAGGATCAAGAAAACCGTAAAAAGGACCCAAGGTGCAGGCTAAGCGATTGCGAGGGCATGAAGGAGCTGTTGGTATATCTGAGTGTACTGCTGGAACCGTTGACGGAGCTGGATGTGTTGAATGTGGCGGCCACGGGGGGTGAGAAGCCGATCAAGCTACACAACCGGCTTCTAGATATCGCAAAGACGTACCTAATCTTGAGCATATGCCTGATCAACGAGTTGTGGTCGTCGATTTCTGCGCCTCCTGACCGGCCCGTTTCGTCATCAACCGGCACAATGACAGCCCGGAACAACGGGGTGCTACAATGGTACCGCAGCCACTGCCCGCTGACCGGCGCGCAGATTGTGCAGGCGGAGCAGCACCAGCACATCATCCCTCTCCGAGCGAAAACGACCAGCGACAACCTCGACGATCTCTGGTGGTATCTTGAGGGATTCTTCCCGTTCCGTGGCGACCCACCCCCCTTCACGGAGGAGATGGACGAGAAGGGAAACATCCTACCGCTGGATCTAACCACGCGATGGTTATGGGACCGGAACCGCCTCGGGCTCCGGCCGATTTTGCACCCGACCGAACCCCAGACCAGAATGTACCTCCAGGTGGTCTGGTTTCCGCAACGGCATATCGAGATCGGCCTGGACGCGGACGACAACAATGAAAGCACGAGCGAAAGCACCAGCACAAGCACAGGCACAGGCGCGGGCGACGAAGCCCCCACTGCAACAGCAGCGCCGACGACGAAACTGGTGCCCACAGACTTATTCGACAAGCGAAGGGTAATTCATGACGAAGCCACGGGGGCCGCCAAGGGAGCCGAGCTCATCTGCCACGGGGATGTCTACGAGCTGCACACACCCGACTGCAAGGCACGCCCGCTGCCGGATATCCGCTTGCTGCAGATGCGGTTTGCGATGCAGCAGCTCCTCGCGCCGCAACAGTGTCCCGCGGCACTGCGGATCATCTTTGGGGTGGATCCTCCAGCTTCCGAGGACGGTGATGATGGTAATGGTGATGGTGATGGTGACACGAAGCAAGGGCCGGACGAAAAGTGTATGCCTGCCGAGTGGGACCGCATGCTTGATGATGCTCTTCGTTTTGGGATTTTGACCTTGGAGCAGGAACAGGCGTGGAGGAGACATATCCTCAAGGAGGCTTCTGCTGAGTAACTTTATAACAAGGCTAAAAACGGCTGAGTCTAGAGATAATTAGAAGGGATTAAAAGTCGTTCGAGGCCCAATTTAAGGAGGCAGACATCCACCGCAAGGGTATCCTCTATGTGGCTAGCAAAACGGAGTGGTACTGGACTTTTATGGACGTGGTAATTGGTCCGCTTAGACTTCGCAAAGACACTGTCAAAAAGAATGGAAACCGAATTGACCAAGTGTATCAGTACCGTTTCCAAGTAATTAATCGTTCCCGCCGTAATTACAATGACGGATCACAAGAGCTTGAGCAAGTCTCGATTGCCAAATTAATTTGAATGACTGGTAGGGCGAGCTGGGCGCCATCGCGGAGCAGACACGAAAGAGCAACTCAGAGCCTGCTTGGAGTGGCTCGTCACTTATTACGCGCTGGGCGGGGAGGCCAAGGGACTGGGAAATATACAATAGATGCTCGAATTTGATTGTGCTCCCGATAGGTAGAGAGAACGCCAACAGAGAATACCTCAGTGCCAGAAGACATCGCCGCGAGGTTTCAGTTGTAGCCAACAAATCCCTGATGTACCTGAGGTCAGGTAGGTCAGGGAACCTCACCTTAAGCCATGTAATCATTGCCCCAACGAGCGGTCTTCCATCGTGGGATGAAGCCAAGCATCGCATCTTCTCACCAGTAGACCGTTAACTACCCATCCAAGGATAGGGGTAGGTACGTATGACAACCGTTGTAAATCTCCAGTCAGCCCCCTCAACTGGAAGATAAAAGCGGAAAGGTTATACATAAAAAAGACGAGGTTTTGAGGAACATCGCTGTCATCAAAGTAATTAGATAAGGGTAGATTCGATTTGAGAGGATGGACTTCGGGGGTGTATTTAGGTCCAGGAGACATAGTCACTGTCACTATAGTATATCGTGGGCCAGAGTATCTTGTATTATGTTTCTTTCATTCTACTTCTACCTACCCCCCGTTCTATTGGCTGCTATTCGTAACACAACATAAAGCGTCATACAAACGGAGTCTTTTACGCCTATAACCGCTCGCTCAGCGTCTCCAATGACAACACCTCCTCCGGCCGTAGCGACAGCCCTTCCGGAATATACACCTTCCCCCGGCGAACCACAATCTCCCCTTCATTTCCGTTGGCCACCGACACGACCCGTGCCAGTTCCCCGTCCGTACCCCTTCCCCGCCCACTCTCCAGGTCTCCTGCGCTACTACTCCCACTCCCACTCGACTCCTCCCCTTCATCGCCTTTCCCCTTCTCAATCACCGTTTGTTCCTGCTTCTCCCCCCCATCCCGACCTTCCTTTCCATCTCCACTCCGCTTCCAAAACCCTCCCGTCTCCCCCGGACTCCACCAATAAAACGGAAACCTCCTCTGCACATTATTCACCCCCAACGCCACGACCAACATCAACCCGCACCCAAGCAAAACCGGCACAAACAAAAACCACCCCAACCCGGCCACATCCGGATCCAACACCGCCATCAACGCGGTCGCGCCCGCAGGCGGGTGCACAGTCCCCGTGAGCGCCATGGCAGCTGTGGCACACGCGCAGGCAAGCGAGGCGCCGAGCCAGCGGATGGCGGGGAAGTGAGGGGAGAGGGAGAAGAGCTTTTGGAGGATCACGCCGACGAGGACGGAGATGGTTTGGCCGAGGATGGCGTTGCGGGGTTGGGCGAGGGGGGATTCGAGGGCGTAGAAATCTAGGACTGCTGCTGCGCCCTGTTTTTTTTGTCTCTTATTAGTATTGTACCGGGGAGCGACTGGGGGTGGGAGAGGAATAATAGGGTAATAAAGAAAGAGACAGCAAGGACGTACAAAACTCCCAATAATAACCGGAACACCGCGGGATTCAAAAGCAGGGACATGCTGCGTCACAGCACCGATGATAGCCAGACTCGAAAACACCCCGACCATAGCCCAGAAGATCATGGCGATGTTGCCCAGGGGCGGGCGGCCCCCGGCAGAGGAGGACGGAGCATGGGTGCGGTGGCCGAGGAAGTGGGCGATCGGGGTGGGCAGTCGAGGTAACGGGGAGGCTGGGATGAAGGGGTTGAGGTGGGCGTCGATGTTGAAGTGCCAGCGGGAGGGGCCGCGGCGGGCCTGGGCGGACATGGTGGTGGTGTTGAGTCGTCGACTCTTGAGGAGAGTCGAGGAGAGTTGATGTCCTCGAAACGAGGGTTGATAACCACGCCCGTTCAGTCAACCGCAAGCCAGGGTGAAATACCGGACAGGGAGGTTAAAAAAGATGGAAAAAGAAGAGAAAGAACCCCCGGAGTTGTCCCGGCATTTCGTCAACCCTGTATAAGCCGCCCAAAGACCGATCCATCGATTCCGAACAACGCAGAAGGAGAGTAAGTACGGAAATAAAGGGAAGAACATCTCGGATGTCGCCATCCGGCCGCACGATTCAATAACGGTTGTCCCTGCAAAACTCCCAAAGAATGCTGTGTGGTGCAGTGGATTCGCCCACTGGGTCGGACCTTCCAGGCGCGAGCCAACGACGACCCGGGGATTTACGTCAGATTTGCTAAGAGAAATTCCCGATGCGGTTTAGCGCCGGACAGGTGCTTGAACGACCTGCCATGCGCTGCCGCAACGCGTGCCGGTGTTGGATCTATTTCCGCGGAGCCTCATGTTTGTTGGACCGTTTCTCTCATTTTTTGGTCTTTTTTTTCCAACAATTTTGGTGGTTGAAGACGAGTTAAACGGGCGCGTTGTGTCTTTCCGATGGGAAGCACATGCCAACTTCTCCTGGGCACACTAGAAAGAACCCACATGCATCGAATGGCGCTGACTGGAGTTAACGGACGCCAAGCCTGATTCGATCGTCCGGGAGCGCCCGCCATCCGAAACGGGAATCCGGGGAAATGCGGCAGTCACTGCTGGCCTATGAGGCTATCACCCTATCAAGCCTATCATTGCGATGCGGTTGTCGAAGCTAGTGTAGTCAGTCTGAAAGAAGATTTAGTTAACGTTACCTTCAACTTCACGGCTTTTTCGAGAGTGCGATAGGATTTCTGCTGTTGGATCCAGATTGTGGAATTACTGTGGATTACGGACGAGCGGTGCGGAGAAGTCTCGGCATTCGGTTTGCTGTCGGATTTTCCGGACGGACAGTGGGCCGTTCGTCTGGATTGTGAGTGACATGTGGTAGTTCCGACGACTCTCGACAGCTGAATCGAGTAGGCTGTGTTGATCCATTTACATTGTGCTCGTTTCCGGCGTTCGACCCAGGATTTGAGACTCAAGCGGTATCCTATCCCTTAACCCCAGCTCCATCCCGCTCTCCTGGCTACACACAAGTTGTAACTAACAACCGTCTTACTTCAACTCCCCAAAACTCTCCCGATCTCCCGCAAAAAATGCATCTCCCTCTCCCTCACCGACCGCCCAAACTCACTCCCCGGCACCGCCCCCTCGACCAACCGCCTCGCCTCGTCCAGACTCACCCACATGTGTTTCAGCCCGTCTTCGACTTCCTCCTCTTCCAGCGCTGTCCGCCCGGTGTCGGAGACTAGGTCGGCGACGTAGCAGTAGGAGGTTTGGCACTGTTGTAGGCGGAATTCTTTTGTTATTGCGAAGCAGCGGGGTTGTATTTTGGTTTTGTCGTTGGTCTTGGCGTCCTCATACCCGTTATTATCATCATCCCCTAGCCCGTTGGTGTTATCCGCGCCGTCATTACCATCATTGTATTTAAGATCCCTCCGCAACCTAATCACACCACCCGTCTCCTCCAAAAACTCCCTTCTCGCCGCCGTCTCATGATCCTCGCCCGGTTCGACCCCTCCACCAGGGAGTTTGTAGTAGTTGTCGCGCGCGGCATGGAGGATGGCGATGTGCCCCTGCGGGTTGAAGGCGATGATGCGGACGGCGGAACGCGGGGTGTAGGAGGTTGATGAGGAGGGGGAGCCGATTACTTTGGTTGGGGGGGTTAGTTGGGTGTGGGGGGGCATTGTGAGTGTGTCGCGGATGTCGGGGGTCTGTTGTAGTAGGAGGTGAAGGGCTTTTTATAATGTGGCAGAGTGAGGGTGGGTGAAGTGAAGGTGGAGGTGGCATTGGACTTCACATCCAGGTTGGCTATGTTGTTATGAGTAGGCGGGTTTAATTCAAATCTCTAGGCAGCAGCTGGCTAATAGGCACGCCTGTACTTCTCATGCTTATGAGTCACACCGCTCGCTGTTTAAACACCAATCCAAAAACGCCGAAAAGGGAGAAAAGAAAAGAAAAGAAAAATGGGCAAAAAGCCAAACCATCACGAGAACAAAACCCCCGCCCGCACCGTCTCATCCCTCGATTGCTTCAAAAACGGCACCAACGCCGTGCCCCCCGTCCCAGTCAATTCCCCCGTCCCTTCACATTGTCCTCCCTTCTCACCCTTATCTCCATCTCCATTTCCCTTCACCTTTCCCCCTAACCTCGATGAAGCAGTCGCCAAATTATTCATCACCTTTTCCCCTTCCTCCTTCAACGGCGCCGGATGCCTCGACGGGATAATAATATACCGCGCGACAATCTGCATATGTTTATCCCGAAACCCCGCCAGTGATTGCGTTGCCGTCTGGAATGCCTCACCCAGCGCGCGTTTTTCGGTCTCTAGTCTCCCGTCCGTGTCGTGCGTGATGTGAGACGGCATGCTGGTCGCGAGGATCTCCCCGACAAGCGTGCGCATCCCCCCTGGATACCGCGCGCTGACATCGCGGAGGAAGCGTCGGTGGGGTTCGGGCATGTAGGCGCGGATTTCTTCGTGGTAGCTTGTTTCTTTGGGGTTGCTGTCGGTCTTCTCTCCTGCTTTCTTTAGTTCCCCGCCTTTCTTCAAGCTCACCCCCTTCTGTTGGGTGTTTTCTACTGGCCTGCTCTTGACGCTGTTGCTGTTACCAGCTCCCACAACCCCGTGTTCGACCCCCAATGCCGCATCCAGAAACTGCACCAGCGAACTCTGCCCGTTACTCCCACCGCGATACTTCCTCCACTGCCCTTTTCTCCCTTGACACCTTTCCCCCTCCTGCCCCGCTCCGTTATTGTTGCCGTCATCACAACAAACAGAAGCCCCCTCATCATAAAAAACCCCCTTCGGCAACCCCGCCCCCTCCATCCCCGAACTCCCCGCCAAAAACGGCCGAATCAGGTGATAATACACCCCCGGCCGACACCGCTCATACATCCGCTCCAACAACCCGCCCAGCGCAGCAATACACGCCACAAACTCCCGCAACGCTTGCGTAGTTGTTTGCAGGTCGTGCATATCCTCCTCTTCTCGACCTGCGTTGCCCCCACTGGTATGACAGGAGCGAGACCGAGCAAGATACCGTCCCCCCGCTTCCAAACCGCGCAACATGCCGGAAATAATCTCCCCGCCGCGCGCTTCCATGGCGGCGGAGACCATGTAAAACCAGGATTCGTCTTCGGTGCCGGTGAAGGTGTGTAGGGCGTGGAGGTGATCTAGGTCGGTGAAGTCGTGACTAGGGGATGTGGTGCGAAAGTTCCAGAGGTTGAGGCCGGCGTAGGTTGCGACGGGGGGGAGGTGCAGGTGGGAGGAGACGGTTAGGAGGGGGAGGGTTAGTTGGGGGGGGAGGATCTGTGGGTGTTAGTTAACTGAGTGTTATAACTGATGGGAAGAGGGTTGGAGGGGGTACCTCAGACGCGGTGTCCCCACCCCAGATGTAGGCGTGGGCAAGAAAAATGAGAACGAGGTAAGCACGTCGCCATTCGGGTTCTGCCGCGAGGAGCTTGGTGGAGAGAACGGGGAGTTGGTCGACTTGGCTGCGGAGCGTGCGGTTGGTGAGAGAAACAGACAGCGTATCCATCACAGACTCCCATGGTGAGTAGTAGATGCTGGGAAGCCTGGTTAATGGCGCTTCCTCAGGGAGAAAACCGTTTCGTGTGATTGCGTAGTCCTCGAGGGACAGTGGTAGCTCGCGCTCGCCATCGTGGGCGTCGTTGTGGGGGTTGTGATGGTAAGTCTCAGGCGGCGACATTTTCACGTTAAACAGACAAACAAAACAATCGTGAAAATGGTCAAAATCCTAGAACAATTGGGAAGATAGCAGTAAACAAACGACACACACCGATAACTTATACCGACCATCCCGAAACCCCTGATCGATCACGCACCCATCTCCATACCTTCCGTACCCACAAACATCCGCCCTTTACCGCACAGTCATATCCACATTCCCAACCTCAATCACTTGATGTCATCCCGGTTTCTGGGCAAAGGCTGTGAATTTCCCCAGTTCCGAGGACGGAAGACGGAACGGAAGACGGATGCGGCAGGTGGGGCCGGTTTTACCCGGGACCCACCCGGCGCGGGTTCCGTGCGCATCTGAACCGGGCTCGGCGCGGATCGGCGCGGATACCGGGACGGACGGTGTAGAGGACTGCTTCAGGGTAAACAATGATTACTGGCCGCATGGCAGGGCATGACTCGTTCGGTGGGATGCACTAGCATAAAAACCGCCGATTCAAGCTTGAGGGCAGGTCGGGCAATCTCTTAATTCTGGCCAAGCCCAACTTCAACGTGAAAGTCAAAGCCGTTCGGCTTCTTCCAATTTGCGAACCACGAAAAGAATGATAGCCAATGGATAACCGTGAGCACAAATCCCAATAAAAAGACCAAACTTGAAGCAATTGCTTCCGAGTATCAAGGCGTACACCAAAAGGTAACCAAAAAGCAGAACCAGCTGCTAAAATTTATTCCAATCTCACCCAAAAACTCACCGGTAATCACTGTCTCTCCCCTTGCTCCCTCCTCGGTCTCGACCCACCCCCGCCCAACCCGCTCTCCAAATGCTCCTCCTTAACCTTCTTCCTGGAAAACGAAGGCAGCGGGATGGCCATTCCCGTCCCCTTCCCCAACCCCGGCAGCGCCAGCGCCAGCCCCGGTTTCTTCCCACGGCCTTCTGACCGTCCATCCGCTGAATCTTCCTCGTCCGTGTTTGGAGCAGCTTCCAAACTCGATTGCAGAGTGCGTATACTACCCTCACGTGAGTTAATTGACGGCCCGTGATCACGCCCAGCCGACGACTCGCGGCGGCCGTCCTTCCCCGACTCGCCCGTGCGTTGACGGGGCCACGGAAGCAGGTCCGAGACAGCGATCCGGCTTTTCTTGGCGTCCTTCTCGGCTCCCCGCGGCACCGACCGCCTTCGCCGGATTGACGACGTGCTCGGTGCGTGCCAGTTATCTTCAGACCCCTGCACCGTGCTCCGTTCCATGCTGGACCGGACCGAAGCGTTCTCTGCTTTCTCGTCGTCGTTGCGGCGTGCCTGGGCTGCGGTTTCTTCTTCTTCCTGTCGCTTCTTCTTCTTGTCCCGCTTCTTATTCTTCATGTTCTCCCTACTCTCTCTCAACGTCGCCACACCCATAGCAGTCTTCGCCCACTCAGGCATTGCCACACTGCCAAACGCATCCACCAACGGCCGCAACACGCCAGATTCTCCAATCGTGGGTTCCTTGACGCGTAACCATGCCCTGTGCAAGGGATAGTCCCACACCCAATTGTCTGCGTCGTCTACCATGTTTTCCGGATACGTTTCCCACCCCTCATGTATGCTCCCCAGCTCGTCAAACCCACCCTCCTCATCCTCCCAGCCCGTCGCTATCGCGTCCACGTCGGACCGGGGGCCGCTATGAACATCGGGATCAACGCTAGCATGTGGGGTGCTGGTGTAAGGCCTTTGGTCCGCGCCGCGATCTGGCCCAGCATCATGAGTCGCCTCTGCATCACCTAGTGGACTCCCATCATTTTCAAAGCCGTGATATCGATCCCCCGCAGTGTCTGTCTCTTCCCAATCCACTTCTTTAGGACCGGACTGCTCCGCTGCTTCCTTTGGCAGAATAGGAGGGTACTGGTGCAACCTCCAGAGTTCCCTGATCAAGGGAATGTGCCGGTGGAATATGTACCGGCCAAACAGCCGGGCGTATAAAAACTCGGTCCCAGAGTAGTTCGATGCCCATCCGATCTCGCTGGTCGGCTCTTCGAGAAATCTTTCGGAGCGGGCGCCATCGGAGTCGTCCCCAGCATCTGAGCCGTCCCCAGCATCGGAGCCGGCGCTGTCGTCAGAATCGGAGTCGGAAGGATGCCGACGGTGACGTTGTCGACGAGGCTGGAGCCGGGCGGAAACACGAACAGTACGGTTCCTGTACCAGCGAAAAATCCGATTGCTGTAAAAGGCGAGCGTGACGATGATGATGATAGTCCCGAAAGAAATCCCGACTGCAATGTGTTATTAGCGAAGCGGGATATGGAGAGTGGGACGAAGTTCTGGGGGAATAAGGGATAATTAATCAGACAGCACGGTGGCACCCGTCCAAACATACATATCAAACCCATCACTTCGTGCAGCGGCCAGTTTATCTCGCCCGTCTCCGCGTTGTGTGGATACCGCTCAATGGAGATGGCCAGCACACTGGACAAGAAGGAAAGGGGGAGCTATAATTGATGGAGCATGTCAGTGCCGCGCCAAACCTCCCCCCAGAACGTTCCCAGACTTACAAAAATAACGGTCACAGCCGTGAAGACAAGTGTAATCTGAGAATTTGGGTCAGTCTTGAGATGCTGCAAATCCCGCTCACCGTGGTTTCGTTTCCAAGGCATCTTAGCTTACGTTGCTCTGGCGTTGGGTATGTTCCGAGCCCTCTCGTGCAAATCTGGCTTCCCATGCATTCGCCTGCTTCTGCCTGTGGCTAATAAGCCCGTTGATCTAATATGTTTCTCGTCAGCTTCTAACTACTAAAACAAGGACATAGAAAGAACGTTGGAATAACTCACTTCCTGGCGAACCTTCTCCGCATATATCATCATCTCCTTGATTGTGGAGATATTCACCTGGGCCAACTCCAGAATCTCCTCCGCTTGCGCCAATGCCCTCGGTTTTTGGAACATGGCCGGCTCGTCCGCGAACTGCACGGTGCGTCGCCCCGCGGCCCGAGCCCTTGCTGTGGGGGAGGCCGGCCCACCGCCTGACATTGCTGATGCTAGCGGCCGTCTTGGACTTGACATACCGATGGAGTCAAGAGGGTCCGGCTCATCATAAAGGCTCGACGAGGTCCTGTCACCATACATGTATGACTCAGGTGTGTCCAAAATGTCGCTATCGTCGTCGGCCCGGCCGCTGCTGTCACGGTACAGAGAGGAAGGTGAGTAATAAGCCTCGGTGGCAAGTGATAATCGACTGGGAAAGAGCACTTTGATCCATTTTGCGAGGGCCGTTCGCTGTTCTTTGAATACATTTTGGATGGTTTTCAGCTCGTCCAAGATGTCCATGATTTCAGCGAGCAGCCGGGTCTCGGTGGTGAGCTGGAACAGGGAATTGGTTTTAGTTGCGCGGGTTTGCTCGTCAAGCGTGTTCTTGTTGAGCTCTCTAACAAGCGATTTGAACTCGTCTAGCTGAATCGCGTGTCTCTCAGCCTACAGTGTTGTATGTCAGCAACAAAATTCTTGGGTTTCGTGGTATATTTCTCGGGTGGGTTGTTTGTTGATTGCTTACAATGAGGGTGATGCTCGACTGAAAACATTCGTACAACGTCACTTCATATGGACCTGGACGCCTGAGAAAGTCCACGCTGTATCGGATAATGGTGTTTGCAAGGTCCAGCGTGTCTTTCATGAGCGGCCTGTCGTCGTTTCCTTTGAGCTTCTCCTCGGCCAGGTACTTTGCCAAGTTGTAGTTTTTGTCCGCGCACCACGTGTCCGGGAGCGACGTAATCACAGTCTTGTCATCTTCGAGAACCCACAGCCAGAGCTGGTCAACCATGAGTACGGGGCAGTCATCCCTGGAAATAGAAGGTTCATCTGATTGAACGTTGCCATTCTTGCGTTTTCGTGCCTTACCCTTGCTCACCCACCGCGACATGACTTGGCTGTTGTCGCGTCTCTATGACAATAGTAAAGTGCGGTGCGTTGATTAGTGGGCTGGTAAAATGAAAGGCCAGAGTCACACCTGACGACATACCTCTGTATCATGCAGCATATGGTAGGTGAATTGATCCAAAGTCCGTCGGCAGTGCAGTGGTGATTCCTGACCACCGCGATAGTAACTTCGTATTAGTTGGACGTTCTCGTTAATATTATCGCCCGGTGGCAAATCAAGCAAGCCCTTCATCGTTAGGGTCAGCTGTCGGCGATATTGGTGCAGTTCAAACCCTAAAACAGGCATCTGGCAGAAGTCAGTGGACGCTCGTTCCATCACCAGGCTGCCACCTAACGCATGCTTGGTGTTTCCTTACAAACAGGGCCGTCACAGTTCTCTTTTCGGGCCCCAGTTCAGGGAGTCCCGAGAGCGGAATCGGTGGTTCCCCGTATGGAACCATGGGAAACGTAGTGTACATAAGTGCTGCCCAGTGGCGAAGGTCGGCCTCAAAAACCTAAAAAAAAAGAAAGCCATGATGACGTGTGAGTCGCAAAACGCAAGTGCAGTGGTTAATATGGCGTGGGCCTCATATACCTGCTTATATCGAATGGCACCTGGAGCCACATGCTGGTCAAAATACGCTTGGCCTGTTACACGCGAACCACCGATTAGGATTGCGTTTGGGGAGCCCGCTCTAGGGATGGGGGCCCGCTTGATCAAGACAGTAACCATACCTCGGTGCCTCCTTTTACCGATGGACTCGTCGATGCGTCCAAACTGCCGGAGAAAGAGGGCCTGGTGATTATTATGCCGCCAAGGAAATCAGTATGGGTTAATTATTCATGCCACGTTGGACCGCGATGCGAGCTAGCTCCCCAGGGTTCCTAACCTGTACCCATTTCTCCTGGAGGATGGACGAGAAAAGATTAGCCGCTTAAACCCTTGCTGATTATGACCAACCCAGCTTCGGTGACTTACATTGTTTGCGGGCAAATGGACCAATCGGCAGGTCGGCCGCTTGTCTTCATCAAGCCTAAGGCTGCGCTGGAATAGTTTATCAGTCCCGTAGAACGGGGCATACAGCGCGGTGCCGACGGTAGGTTGCTGTCGATCAACATAATCCTGGTGTTCGTCTTGCGCAATGTAAAATTGCATCAGGATAGCCCGTATTCTGTCGCAGGCCGCCATCTCATCCTCGTAACATCCCGCAAGCTCTTCAATCAAGTCCTCGGTGGTGCGGAGGCGCCCAGCCCTAGCGCCTTTCGCCAATTCCCGGTGCTTCCTTCTGAGTTCCCAGACCCAGGCGTAACAAACGTCGGACTCTGACCCGTCGTTAGGGATATAGTCCCACGGCGTCTTCCCCTGACCGTCCAACAGATTTTCCCCGTTGTCCATTTCGGGTAACCCAAGAATCTTCTGAATTACCATCCGAAAGCCGTCGCCCATCATCACGAGCTCGCCCGCCATCGCCATAATCTCCTGAAAGAGAAGATGAAGTGGAGTAGCGCCGTTTGTGTCTTGTCTTATAGCTAGTTGTGGTGAGGCACTGAGGAAGCGGATTGCGGCGGAATCGTTCTTCCCCCGCACAGCACAATGGAGCGGAGAGTCTCCGATCCAGTCTTTGACATCAAGCTCGTACTTACAGTCGATGAAGGTCGCCAGCTGCCCTTCAAAGCGCACAACCCTTGAAGCCACGAATACAAGCAATCGCTTTACGTGCCTCACGAAAGAGCGATAATTTGGGTCCCCGGGCCCCCTGAATCTCCATGCCGACCTACTGCCGCTAAGAGGCACATTATTCTTGGCGGTGGGCTTTTTAAGGACGAGCTCGAGTTTGGAAAAGTCGACGTACGGGATCCATGGTGTTGGGCTCTGTTAGAACGTTGAGAGTCAACACCACCTGCTTGCTTTGGCGTTTGTGGGGTCATCGATATCGTGAAACATACCTTGGTCGTTGAGGTGGAGGGCGCAGTATAGAACCACACCACCGAGGTCTTACACTCTTCAAGCGTTTTCCGGAACCTCAACCATAGGCCCCAGGCATCAAATGCCCTTGACTCCACGATATTCCGAACTCTGGCGATGCGAGGATTGGTGGGGTTGGAGACCGGGGGAAAAATAGGAGGTGGTTCTGTGATGACCCTCTCGTTACAGAAAGACGACTTGGGTCCCTTGGCATATTCCTTTGACACGATGGGATCAGGGGCATCGAAGAAGAGGCAGCCGGCGGTGCCTGTCAAAACCCGCCAAGGGCGTGGAGTGGGAGGCTTGTCTTCGTCTAGGAGACAGCAAGCTTTCTGAATGACCAAGCACCCGAATCCGACACCGACAAATATCAACGGGGTGGAGCTGAATAGGTTGAGTTGCTCATTTCCCAGGAGGGGTTCAACAAGCGCATGTGTTACATCTTCAAGATACTTGGCGTAATCAAGCTTCGGGGAGGTATTCTTGTCAAGCGTGGTCTGTCCTGGGTCGAGAGGGCGATAGGCCAATGCCCAGACGCGAGCCTGGTTGAAGTCGGAGCCGAGCATGGTTGGGTCGGCGAGCCAGTTGCCAGTCTTGGCAGGTTTGTCCTTCTCCGACGGTGCTTTCGATCCCTTGGCAGACGATGGGCGGTTCGAATGTCGGGAGGTGCGGTCATCATCGTGGACTTTGTTTGCGGCCCCATCATCCAAGGCAGGCTCGGGAGCTGGCTGCGAAATGAGCGGCTGACGGTCCCTTTCTACAGCCGCATCACCAGCTCCGTCGGCTCGTTCTTTGCCTTTTACTGGCAAACCCGCCATCGCTTCCGCCCCGGAGGCGATCTGCACCCCCGTGATTCGATCTCCACTTGGCTCATTGATATCTGCTGGCTCAAACTTCCAATTCTCGACAATGTCTCGGGCCCGATCGTGTCCCCGCTTGCGAATTTGGGTTTCATTCCGAGCCTTCGTTCCAGTTATCGGGGCGGTGGCATCCGGGCGGGAGATTGAAGGCGCCGGAATTGGGGGTGTTGGCCGGGATTCCTTAGCTTCCTGGTCCGGACGTCGCTCAAAGCCCTTTTCAGTGACGAAGTTCCATGCGTTCGCCGGCGTCTGACCAAGGTCGGGTACCGCAATGATGTTCAGCACCGGCCTCTCGTCCGGGCAATAGTTGGCAAGTTCGACAAGCCTTGGGCGTTCTGGTGGTTTGGTGGGTTGGGCTTTGGTCCCAGGCTTTGCGCCCTCTGTCTTGCCTTTTGCGGAAGCCTTCTCTTTTCCTTGCCCTTGGCCCTTGGTTATCTTGCCGACTACGGCTGCCCCGCCCGGTTTGGAGGCCGGAGAAGCTGGCGTTGCCGACTGCGCCGCTTCGGGGGCGGGCTTGGCACTGCCGACGCGTTTCCGCCACGGCAAGTTGCCGCCAAGGCCTAGGATTGGTGTCGAAGGCTCACGCTGAGAAGACCCGGTATTGCTACGGCCAGGCTGAAGACCGCTAGGTGTACTGGGATCGGGTTGCGTGGCTGTGGGCTCGGCTTGTGGAACTCGAGTGGTCGTCTCTGTCGGGGGTTGAGGGGTGCCTTCACTGCCTTGAGGCCCAGAGATCGGGCTACGACTTTGGTTGTCTGTCGCAGATTTATTCAATAGGGAGGCGCCCAGTGCCTGCGCCTCTAGGAGCTCTTTGCGCAACGAATCCTGTGCGACGGCCAAACTATCTCGTGTATCTCCCCCCGGCGAGCGCGGTGGCGAAGACTCCATGGCCGGTGCGGATTCGTTGCGGAACTGCGAATTCGAGATATGGCGAAGAAAGGCGTCAAAGGCCGAACTTCGAAGAATGAGACGAAAAGGGAGACAAAACGGCAAGCTCACAATAGGACTTCAACGCGCATGCTGCGCGTCGCCGATCATTCTTCCAGCCCCCAAACAGCTATCACGCCGTCGCATTATCTGCCCCCTGTTGGGCTGTTGGTTCAACATCGCAGCATTGCTGTGGGGGGGCGCCTAGCGATGCCCTCGATTGGCTTCGCGAAAATGCACGTCGAAATTGTCGAGTCAAACAGAGCATCCCATTCCCCTGGCTCGCCTTTCCTCTTGCTCTTGGCATTTGGAATGCCCAATGCGGTTTGCATAGCTCAATAAGGAGTAGTTTGCTGCAGAGAGCAAAAGTGTCTGCATTTGACTCCGCATGAGCGATTCTGACACAACCTTGAAGGTTCTTTCCGGATGAGGGCATTGGCCATTGGTAGAGCAGGCACGACTTGCTAATTAATTCTCTCTCCTCTGCCCGTTCTCTCGGCTGCGCCTACCTATCTAGGAATCAACTACCTTACTTCGTGCCTAATTCTTTACACATTCGCCGATTTGAATCAAGGTCAAGTAATTACCATACTGTAATTGGTAATGGGTGACGGTTGGCGGATTTTCCAAATGAACTTGAAAACCTTTCCTATGACCATAACTAGTTAACCGTTCTGCGGTAATTAACCGCACACACATTTCAAAACAACTAAAATCTCGACGCTTTATGTTCCCGGCATGCTTTCCACTCCCTGTGCCTCGCGGCCTTTCTCAGGCAGTTGTAAGGCCCAACATCTATGTTCTGCAACAATGTACGAATCGTCGATTGTAACAAAGATTCTCGATCGTTGAAAGACTGCAATTAAGAATAACTAATTTTAAGATCGACCTAAACCACTAATTACAAGGCCCATTGCAGTACCCAAAAAATTGGTTCGTCAACAACACAACGATGGATCAAAAAAAAGCTTTGCGGTGTTCCGGGCTTTTCGATGCTGGACAATAAATAGTGTGTCGATAGATTCGGCGTTTTTCGCCTCCATTAATTAATAACCGAGACAACAACCTTCCCCTTCCATCCGAGATCGCCAACGATTCCACGACCAGAAAGTTGACCGGGACCCATAACAAGGTGTGAATGGCACCCTCTCCATCGCCTCCCAGAAAGGTGACCCGCCATGGCGCTGACTTGCATTCATGGTTTCTCGGTTCTCCAGCAATCATTCCTCGAAACATGCGGGCAGTGGTGGTACAAAGGACGTTTATCCATATGCCGGCAATATATTATCAACCCGAGGGCCGGCATATAGTATCCGGGTACGTCCCACCTCGGTGCACTACTAATACACTCGAATCCCAACCCAGTTATTCCCCAACTTCTAAGAACCTTCACTCCCTAAGCCCTCTCTTCCCCAACCATCCCTTCATCACATTTCACACTACAAACACCCATCATGATACTCCAATTAACCCTCACTCTCGGCACCCTCACTACCCTCACCACCCTCTCCCAGGCCATGGCCCTCACACCCCGCGGCGTCCCCATCCCGACCCCAATCCCCCCCATGCTCCGCTTCCAATGCTCCCAACTCGTCCTCGACCGTCTCGACCCCCTCGGTTCCCCGGGCCAAATCCCCTCCCCCCACCTGCACCAAATCGTCGGCGGCAACTCCTTCAACGCCACCATGGACCCTGCGACCCACGACCTCCCGGGTTCTTCAACCTGTACAAGCTGTACGTTTACAGAGGACTTGTCGAATTACTGGACGGCGGTGATGTATTTTCGCGATTGGCGGAATGGGACGTTTACGCGGGTCGCGCAGAAACCGAATTTGGGACTGGAGGGTAACGGGGGGGTCACGGTGTATTATATCCCGCCGCACGATAACACCACACGCGTAGCGGCGTTCAAGCCCGGGTTTCGCATGTTAGTCGGCGACGCGACGGCCTCGCCCACCAACCCCGGGCAGGATCCAAAGGTGTGTCACAGATGCATGCCGGAGGACGGGGATTTGGGGAATTTGAACTGCGCGGAGCCGGATACGAAGACGTTTCCGACGGGGTTTTGTGTGGGGGGGATCAGGTCGGTGATTACGTTTCCGACGTGTTGGGATGGGGTTCATCTGGATGTGCCTGGGCATCGGGACCATGTGGCGTATCCGGTGGAAGGGAATTATGATAAGACGCCGGATGGGGGGGTTTGTCCGGATAGTCATCCGGTCAAGATTCCGCAGGTTATGTTGGAGACTATTTGGGATGTGAGTTCTTTTTTGGTCTTTGTCTTGGTGGGGGTTGGGAGGTGATAATGATGCTGACGGGGGTAGACGACGCCATTTAATGATGAGGCGCTGTGGCCTGAGGATGGGTCACAGCCGTTTGTGTGGAGTACCAACGATAAGTATGTTTTGTCTCTCCCATCTTCGATATCCTCATTTCCCCATCATAGGACCTCACACTACATCTCGCCCAATCACCAACGGAACACTCCCAATACCAACATACATCGGCATACCGACACGCAAGGAATGATACATACTAATGCACACTAATTAACAGAGACGGCTACACCCAACACGGGGACTACGTCTTCGGATGGAAAGATGACTCCCTCCAGCGGGCCATGGACGCCCGGTGCTTTGGGAACGTCTGTGAGGGAGTCTTAGCAACCCAGACGGTTGAGGAGTCGGTGACGTGCACGATTCCGCAGACGGTGGTCGAGGATGTTGATGGATGTAGGTTTTCTCTATCTTTTTTTCGTTTCTCTTGTTTTGAGTGTGTGGGTGGGTTGAGGGAGTTGGTGCTAACGGGTTGTAGGGCTTGACCGGCTTCCGGGGCAGGAGGATATGCCGATGTAGGGGAGGTGAGTAGCGCTGTGGGAGGTAGATTGAGGTGTGGGTGCTCTGGGTTATTGAGGCGGTCCGTTGCAAATATGATGCTAGAGGACGGATGGAAAACCTACAATTTGTATCGAAGCGGTTGGATCCATCGAACGGTTCAACAAACGGAGGTTCGAACGGATATTAAGGGGCATGGGCAAACTCGGTTATTTTCCTCGGATTAAAATACAAAGACCGATCTGACATTACCAGACAGCGCCGACAGATACATATTCATTCGCCCGCTATTTATTAAAAGCTGTGCTTCTTTTCCTGATTCCGAATCAATACCACGCATTTCTGACCACTCATCCACAATTCCGCTCTTCATTCGTATAAACTCTTCCTCACTTTCCAACCCTAACCCTTCAAATCAACACCCTGTTGCATCGATCAACAAACTTTGTTTTCTCGTTGAGTCACTCGACCGAACCACCCTCCGAGACTTTCGGCTGCAACCGGAGTTACGAAGATCGACGCCAAGACCACCTCGCCCGCCCTTTTGTTGACGACTGCAGGTCGGTTGCCGGTGTGCATCGTGGTACGTTGTTACATTGTGGTTAAGTCCAGCATATCAAAGAGGGGAAGCTTCAAGCGGGTTTTTGTTAGCCCGGAGTCTATGTCCAAACACAAGCGAAGGCATTAGGTAAATCCCATGACTCAACGCCAGCACATACCGTATGCCGTATATCGTATATATATCCTCAACTATCCCACTCCATCTCCATTCCCATAACCACCAAACAACCAACCACCCACTCACCACTCATACACCCATCCGAGAAGCGCCCAAAATGTCCATCCAAGCCCCAACCCACATCAAAACCCTCCTCACCCGCCTGCACGCCGCCTCCGCAGCGCAAGAATCCTCCCTCTCCCAATCCCTCTTCTACCTCAAGCGCAACCTCCTCCACTTCCTCTTCGGCACGACCTGGTCCGCAGCCAGCGATGACCACATGCGTGACAAGTTCGTCGCCCTCGAGCCTGAGAAATGTGAATTAGTCTACCTCCTGGCGAGGGCGGCGGGTGCGACAACGATCGTGGAGGCGGGGACGAGTTTTGGGGTGTCGACTGTTTATTTGGCGCTGGCTGTTGGGCAGAATGCGAAGCTGCGTGGGGAGGATGGGGTTAAAGGAAAGGTGATTGCGACGGAGAAGGAACCGAGTAAGGCTGCACGGGCGAGGGAGCATTGGAAGGAGGCGGGGAGGGAGGTGGAGGAGGTGATTGAGTTGAGGGAGGGGGATTTGTTGGAAACGTTGGCTAGGGAGGATATGCCGGAGGTTGTTGATTTTTTGCTGTTGGATAGTAGGTTTCTTTCTTTTTCTCCTTCTTCCACGCTCACATACACTCTTTCTCTGCACCTTGGTTACTTCACTAACACACCCAGTATGGACCCCGATGGCGCTGCCGACACTGAAACTCATTCAACCGCGGCTGAGGCCCGGCGCGCTGGTCATTGCGGATAACACCACGATGGCGCGGGGTTTGTATGGGGAGTATCTGGCCTATCTGCGGGATCCGGCGAATGGGTTCAAGACGACCGAGGCGCCGTATCCGGGGGGGCTGCAGGTGTCGGTGTACTTGCCGGAGGCATAGGGTCTATGTTTCTGTGGAGTGGGTATATGGTGTGGTATATGAGGGTATTGAGATTCTGGACTTTGGTGGTTCAGTACGGGGTTTCGCGTTGGCAATACATAGTAAATGCAAGCGCCGCGAGTTCTAAAGGTTAGCTTGGTAAAGTTTAGTCCATATTGTCAGCTAGGTTAGAATAACTTTAGGTTATGTTCATCAGTTGCTATTCGTTTTCGATTTCATTTTTTCTTCTATCTACGGTCCAAGCCCCCTTCATCTGCAGCACTATCAGCACTAATTATCAAAAACTAACAATTGCACGATCTAGGCTTCCCTCGTATCGTGCTCCGTGCCTTGGAATTAGCTCCAAAGAACCTCGTGTTGACCCCTGTCTGGTGCTGATTCATGCCCACCCAGCGTAGCAACGGGAGCTACCAAATTGGGAAGGCTGACACCTTAGATGAAAACTAAATCCACAGCAAAAACGTTCACTAATCTCACGGCAATGATACATTAAATATCCCTTTCTCACCCATCAACAACCCGATTTCTCACTCCCATCGCCAAACCCCATCATTAACCGGGCAATCGCCCCAAACCACCACAATGCTAACCACCAAGTTAACCGCCCTGCTTTCCTTCCTCTCCCTCCCCCTCTCTATCTCATCCCACCCAACCAACAAACCTCCTCATGAGCAATCTCATGCATCCCCCTCTTGGTCTCTGGTTAACCCCCTCCCGCCTAACACCCCCCTAACCCTCCACCTCGCTTTGACCCAACCCAACCTCCACTCCGCTCCTACTTTGCTCCACGCTCTATCAGACCCATCGTCACCTACGTATGGCCAGCATTGGACTGCACAGCAGGTTGCGGAGTACTTTGCCCCTTCTGATGAGGCTTTCACCTCAGTGAAAGAATGGCTAGTCAGTGAAGGGGTTTCCCGCGAAAACATAAAGAAGGGTAGAAAAGGGGGATGGGTAACCGTGGATATCACCGCCGCAGAAGCAGAGAAAGTCTTGGGAGCAGAGTATGGGCTTTGGGAACGGAAGGGGGATGGGAAGAGGGTGGTGAGATGTGAGCGGTATTGGGTGCCTGAGGGGTTGGAGGGGATTGTGGAGATGGTTTTGCCGGGTGTGGGGTTTGATACGGCTTTGGAGGCCGAGGGTGGTGAGAGGGAAGAGAGTGCAAAGGGGGTGGTGAAGAGAGAGACCGAGGGGGAGAAGGGGAAGGGGTTCCGGGCGTTGGGGAAGAAGCCGGGGAAGAAGGATGGATTGGGGGATTGTAGTGAGTTGATTACGCCGGCTTGTCTACGGGCTTTGTAAGTTTGTTTCCCTGAGATTCGGATTGACAGAGGAAGCACACTAACATTGAAAACCAGATACGATATCCCCGAGCCTAAGGCTTTTTCCGGGCTGGACAACACCCTCGGCATAGTCGAATTCGCCCCCCAAAGCTACGCCCAACCGGACCTCGACCTCTTCTTCAGCACCTACACCAGCCACCTCCCCAACGGCACAGCCCCCACCCTCGCCGCCATCGACGGCGGCTATCTCTCCTCCGACACCACCGTCAACACCCGCGGCGAATCCAACCTCGATCTCTCCTACGCCATGGCCCTGGCCCTGCCCACGGCTAACATCACGCTGTATCAAGTCGGTGACTCGGTGGTGTGGAACCCGGCGACGAACAATAACTTCCTCGATGCCATCGACGCGGCGTACTGCACTACCGACGGGGGCGATGATAAAGACTGGGATGCGATCTACCCGCATGACAACCCGTCTAATGATCCCAGCATCTACACCGGCAAGCCGATGTGCGGGACGTTTGAGGCGACAAAAGTGATTTCGGTGTCGTATGGGAGTAACGAGGATGCAAGGCCGGCGAGGTATAGGGAGAGGGAGTGTAATGAGTATTTGAAGTTGGGGCTGATGGGGGTAACGGTGGTGTTTTCGTCGGGGGATTCGGGGGTCGCGGGGTTGAGGAGTCAGTGTGTGGAAGAGGATGGGTCGTATACGCCCGTGGGGGCGGATTATGGGCGGTTTAATCCTAGTAGGTCTTATTCTTTCTTTTCCTTGTCCTTTTACCCTGACTTCCTGACTTGGGAGCTGTTTACAACTTTCCGCTTTTGGAAATTTGTTTACTTTCTTTTTTTTCTTGTTTCATCCATCACTGTATGCATACTAACAAAACAGTGTTCCCCGGCACATGCCCCTACATAACCTCCGTAGGCGGCACTGCACTCCCCCCGTCCTCCGTCCCCGGCAAGATCCCCGAAGTCGCATCCACCTCCTTCGGTTCTGGCGGCGGCTTCTCCAACATCTTCCCGCTCCCCTCCTACCAAGCCTCGGCCATCGCGTCCTACTTCGCCTCCCACGAACCGAGCTACAATTCCTCCCGCTACAACAACACCCAACTCGTCCGCGGCTACCCAGACATCGCCCTCAACTCGGAAAACTACGCTACGGCGGTGAATGGCGAGTGGATGGCGTTCTCGGGGACGTCCGCTTCGGCGCCGACGTTTGCGGCCATGATTGCGCTGGTGAATGCGGAACGGTTGAAAGTGGGGAAGGGGAGTGTGGGGTTTGTGAATCCCGTGTTGTATGAACATCCGGAGGCGTTTCAGGATGTGGTCGAGGGGACGAATCCGGGGTGTGGGACCGAGGGGTTTAGGGCGGTTGAGGGGTGGGATCCGGTTACGGGGTTGGGGGCGCCGAATTTCGAGAGGTTGAGGGATGTGTTTTTGGCGTTGCCTTAGGAGGTGTGTGAGGCAGGGTGTTGGAGATATTTTGGTATCAGGAGACAGAAGTAGCTTTGGATAATTACGCAACATGCCCGTGTTGCTACACTGTGTATAGTGAGTAGGCCCGCCAAAAAGCTTCTGATATATGTCACGATGGATCTTGTTCGGTGTAAATGCTGCTTTTTAGGTACTTTTGTCAAAGTTCGTGGTTCTTTGGTTCTGCCCAGATCATGGTTACGCTTTATACTTCAACAGGAAATTGTAAGGAGAGATCACATTTAGCTGGGTACCGCGAAACGGTGAGCAAGATGAAACCCATTAAGTGTCTTGGCTCTATAATTATCGCATACTGCCAACCTGCTTTTGCTTCTAGTGTTCTTCATATGCGACACCTTTCCAGCATTGAGGTCAGGAAGTGGAGTCCGAGCTTGACGGCTTGAGTACCTACGCTGAGGGCTCTGTGGGATGTGGTTGATGAGTCGAAGCTTGATTAGGCAATTACCTACTTACAGTAAAAAGAGAAAGAACGACCAAAAACCCAAAAAGGAGGAACGTTTACCAGCCACCACGCCCAAAACAGCAGGAACACTCGTGATACCCCATTTCCTTAGCCACAACGCCGCTAGATATGCATGACCATTATGCGAGATTATGCAGGCCAATTGTGGCCTCCAATCGCTTGTCTGAGAACTTTGGAGGCCCCGAAGCGCGCCTTCCTCACCTCAAGCAGCAACGAAAAAACCCAATACAGGATCGGACTTTTATCTGCACATTGATTCCAGGATTTATTCCCCACTAGCTGAGCAATCTTCCGCTCTTTGCCATTCACAACATCTCTCCGCCATGATTCTGAAACAGTGGGCAACGTACCCGATGCATTGGGCAGCACCAGCCCAAATGGCCTTGACAAGTCACACGAATCGTGGACGAATCAGATTCACAGCCTTACTTCCACGGTAACTATTTACAAGATATCAATCCACCACTCTCCGCCATGGGACCGCTTTCTCACCACGCCAACATGCCCAGCCTGGCGCTCAAATTTAGGCCCCAGCCTGGCACAGGACTCAGCAACAAACTCGCCAAAAAAGCTCTTCGCCTCATTCTCAAGATACTCTCCCAGCTGGCCAATCTCACCTCGGCCCAGATACAGACAATCGTGTCCCAAATCACCCTCTACATTCCCTCTCTCCCCTCCTATTCTTTTGTGACTTCACAGTCTCCCGTCCCCAGCACCCCAACCCCAACACCAAACCCAACACCGACAATGGGCACCCATCCCAGCAAAGACTCCCGCATCGCCGCGGAGCGCCGACTCGCCACGGAAGCCCTCCTCGCCGAGCTCACCGCTCTCGTCACGCCATCCCAGCTTCCCGGGCAGTCCCACGCACTCCCGCTGCCCTCACCTCTAAGCACCAACCTCCTCCATCGCCACGCAACTCCGTACCTTCACCTCCTCCCTACCCACGCCTCTCAAATCCCCCCGCTCATCCGCCTCGCGCGTACTCACGAGTTACGCATCACCGTCCGCTCCACCGGCTCTTCCTTTTCTGGGTATGGCACCACCGACCGTGGTCTGTTGCTGGACCTGTCCCGGCTGCGGGATGTGAAGTTGAACCGGAAGGACAACACCAACGAGGTGGAGAGTGTCAGTTGCGGTGGTGGTGCTACATGGGGGGATATCAACCGCGCTTTGGTAGATGGGTGCTGTGAGGGGTGGGTTCCGAACGGGCCGCGCGGGGATGGGAGTGAAGGGGTCGTAGGGTTTTTGCTGGGGGGCGGACTGGGGGTTTGGAGTCGGTTTGCAGGCATGGGCTGTGATAGTGTGGTGCAGTGGACAGTGGTCACAGCTGCTGGGGAGTTGGTAACGGTGAGTGAGAAGGATGGGAAGGATACGAAGGAGGGGAGGTTGTTTTGGGCATTGAGGGGGGGTGGTTTGGGGGGCTTGGTGGTGGTGGTGGGAGTGAGGCTGAGGATGGTGAAGGTGCCGGAGCGGGTGGTGGCGGGACGGTGGGCGGGTCGGGCAGATGAAAAGTTGAACGAGGCAGTAGACCAGAGGTGGTATGCTATTCCGTGGGCTGATCAGACGACGGTGGATACCCACTGGACGGTTTCTACGCCGGGCCCGTCAACCCCGACCGTGCGGTTTGTCGCAACTCACGCCGGGGCTAAGTCTGACTTTGACTCGTTTGTCGACCGCGTCGTCCAACCCGTCGTGCCGGACCTCGCGGGCAAACTGAAAACACACACCATCTCCGAGCCCACCACCCTCTTCCTGCACGAAACCCTCGCCGAGCTGCACCGCGAGACCGCCGCCCCCTTCCAGCCCGGCCATCAGTCCTACCTCGCGTATGCCTCCTTTGTGTTCCACCACTTCGAGAAGGGTACCGCAATCGGCGTGGAATACGCCGACGAAGCACTGCAAGCCTTCCAAGAGCAGTTTATCGATGATGCGGCCACCCTGGAACTCTCCTGGCTCCACGGCGGCGGCGGCGCCATCAGCAGGCTCTCGGCCGACAATACGGCGTTCCCATGGCGAAGCGGGGTCTTTTTTGTGCAGGTCTCGTTGCGATGGCACGACAAGTTCCTAAGTGCCAAGATCGGTACCTTTTTGGATGGCCTCTCTGCCACGATGCGCTCGATATCAATCCAGCAGAAGGCGGCTCTGGTAACCTTGGCTGGGGACGGTCAGGAGGAGGGATATCAGCAGGCGTTTTATGGGGGGAATTATGCGAAATTGCAGGTGGTGAAACAGGAGTGGGACCCGGAGGACTATTTTCATGTGCCACGGGGAATTCGACTGCCGGGGGTCAAGTTAGAAGGAACGGTGGATGAGGTCAACGGGCGGGACGGGGTGCCTTGGAGGGAACTGGGGGAGAGACAATGGCGTAGTCGAGGGGAGTCGGTGTGATGGGAGTGTAGGGTTTCTTATTTAGTTGGTCACTGGAGTTCAGGGACATTTACACGCAGGGAGATTTACTTGTTCTAGCAGGGTGCTGGCGACCTTGCTTATCAACTGGGCAATTTGATCCAGGAGTCTCGTTGTCGGATTTCCATATTTAGCATCCAAGATATCACATTGCCAAAAGCTTCAACTCATGTTGGGCACCGTACTGCGGAGTTGACGAATACGAATCTGGAGCACGATGTGTCCACTATCGCATGCCCCACGATCTCTGCAATATGGCCACGCATAGCTTCCAACAATTAACACTCGTCTTCGGTAGTTAGTTATTTACCGAGATGCCGTTAATAATTTCGTAGGACTCGGGAGCCCTAAGGCAGTTGCTTTATCAAGTGGTTGGCTTTCCATCAAGCGTGTCTTGTATAACCGATTGCTTCCTGAATTGCGGAGGGGGGAGCACGAATGATTAAGATTGAAGTGTATCCAGGCGCAAGACACTAATGTAGCTCAAGGCTATGTAGTTATCAACAAAAGAAACCTCAAAAGAATGTAACCATCCACATCCATCATCTCACTCAATCCCATCATCCCCCTCCCTAAAACGGCAACCCCCGTCCCCCTTCAGCCCTCTCCTCCTCCGTCTCATCCCTCACCACTTCATACCCCTTCCCAGCCTCCCCATTTCCCCATTTCTCCTTCTTCCCAGCCCACCATCCAGACTTCAACCCTAACCCTGACACAAACCCACCCCTAACCTTCTCCCATCTCGAGAAACCACCTACACCAGCCAGCCCTGCGACAGCTTTCCCAAACCCGGGGACACCAGACATCCTTCCGGCGAGGAATCTACCCCTCCCACGATGGCAACCTCCACCCACGCGAGCCCATACGGAGTTTGCGACAGCTGACCAGTTGGAGGTGATCATACATACGGCCGCTATCAGACATGTCATGACTGATGAGACAAGCAGGTAGTGTATGATTGTAGTCCAGGACAGAATTACGTGGGCGTTTCCAGGGTGGGTGTTTCCCGAGTGGGCGGTTCCCGAGTGGGCGGTTCCCGAGTGGGGGGTGGTTTGCATTGTGAAGGGGGAAGGGGTGTGGAAGCTAAGAGTGGGGGGCGAAGGGAGAAGGGAAGCTAGGAGGGTGAGGGTGAGGAGGATTGGGAGGAGGGTGAGGAGGGTGACTGTGAGGGGGGTCGTGAGAGATGTGGGGGCTGGGGAGGGTGAGGGGGTTGAGGGTGAAGTGGGGGGTGTGGTGGTCTGGGTTGTTAGCACGAGTATGAGTCAGGGCATAGGTAGAGCGAAAGAAATGGGGGAAGGAAACTCACCCTCAGCAACCGGCTTTGGTTCTCCAATTCCGCTCGTAGCGCAGCCAACTCCCGCATGTGCCCATCTACAGCCCTGATTCTGGCCTGGTGTACCTCGTTGTCTAGGTCGAAATACCCCAAGTCATGCTCCTTGAAGGCCGCCCAGGCTGAGAGGGTGTCGGCTAGGCAGTGGATGAGGTGCTCGAGGACTTGGAGGGTCTCGGGACTGTGATTGAGACCTCTTTTGCGTGCCTGCTGTAATAGTTAGTAACTTCCGTTGGAAGGAACGGAGACTGAGCCCAAATAAAAGGGGATACTCACGATTTTCAACCCCCTTAACACCCCCCTCCCAGCATTCATCCACTCCCCCTTAACCTCCTCCACACCGGCCTGCAACACCTTCAAAAAGTAGTCCCTCGCATCCTCGCTCTGATCACCAACCAAGCTCCGCCCAAAAGTGACCGGATCCCGCTCCACCCCGCCTTGTGTAGCCTGATATGCCGCAACGGCATGTCTACTTTGGTTAGCGGCCGTATTGCCCTTGTCGGTGGAATCGGAACCAGTAGAATTAGGAGAGACGTCATCGTAGTAGGTGTCGAGGAATGAGTAAGCCGTCCAGGCACGGTTGGTATGTCCGATCAGGCTGTGGGCGAGGTGTGCTTCATGGAGGTGCTTTTGGGTCTGAACTTCGCTGTGGCCGGTTGCTGGAAAAGGAACCGGGACGGAAGATCGCAGGCCGCGGGGGTCGGGGGAGGATGCCGAGCGGAGTGTGGGGAAGGGAAGATGCAGGGAGAGGTGGAAGGTTTGCGTGGGCTGTTGTATTCATGTTAGTGGTTGCGAGTAGGAATTGGGATTGTTGATAAGGGGAAAAGAAGGACATACGTCGAGGTCAACAGCAATGCTGGCCTGACGGGTGAGGTGCTTGTAGATGGTGTCCTGCAGGGGATTAACCTGGGACTCGGTGGCTGTGGCTGCGAGGATGAGGCTGCTCGGTGCGTCGAGATGCGGAATGTATCTGAGCTGTTAACGGTTTTTTTCGGAGAGCGGTATGAGTGACTGGGGGGGGGATTAGCACTTACACACGCCTGTTGGTTGGTGTGTCCTTTGTTTCGATGTCGATGAGTGGTGCAGTCGGCTGTGTTGTCAGTACGACCCGTGAGAAATAAGAAGGATAATGAAATAACACACACACCTCCAACGTGTCATACAACCCCCTGCGAGTGAGAAACTTCAAGCCACCCTCACCCACAACGTCTCCGCCCACAATAGCAACGACCTCGTCCCCTTGGAGATCCTCAAACCCCACATCTCCACAAAAAGCCTCCATCTCATCCCAGACATACCGCACCGCCGGATTTCTATCCTGAGCAAATGCCCTCATAACCCGCGCCGCTTTAGTCTCGGTCTCCGTGTCACCCTGCATCTCAGCAAGCGCCAAGCAGTACGGCACCGTCTCGCGAGCGTGTGCCGGGCTCGAGAACGACTTCGGCCAGAGGGTCGACTTTCCCCCGGTCCGTGTAGCGTTTCTGGCCCCCTTTTCAGAACCCGCTTCCGTATCAGACGCGAGCTCACTGTCCAGTTCCGATTCAGACTCAGACTCAGATTCAACTTCACCCCCTAAGGCCCGCCTCCAAACCGAGATATGATCTTCCCCCGTAACATACCCCACAAACGACAGCGCTCCGACCGGAGTGTGCTGCGGACCGAGCATATCCCACACAGCTAACGGCAATCGTAGCAAGAGCACTGCACCGCCGTGCGGGGACGGGAAGAGGGCGGAAACCTGGATTCGTTTCCGGTTTTCCTGGGTCTTCTCGCCGTGTGAGACTGGGCTGTTTAGCCAGGCTCGCCAGGCGTGTACGTCTACGTGGGTGTCAACTAGACGGCAGGTGGCGAGGACGTCGGGGCCAGTTTCAGAGGTTGTTGAAGTGGTGGGGGGTTGAGGAGACGGGGGGGTGAGTTGGATCCGAGGGGTGTCTGTTGGCCCCTGGGATAGCGGCATCAACACCACTGTTCTCGCCCTTTCCCCTAGAACTTTGTATACCGGGACCGAGCTACCCTGCCTCGCCTCTTCTAACGGCTGTCCGGCATGATCGAGCTGTACGAGCGAGTACGCATCATTCGCCAGGGAGAGCGTGGATGAGTGAGGGTTAGGGTTAGCCTGCTGCAACCGGACAAACACCTGGCGGTGCAGCTCCACGCCGGTAAGCCAGTCGGCCGTGTATGCGGCGTGTGCGAGGGATTGGGCAAGGGAGGCTGTGAAGCTGGTTTGCGGAGTGGGGGCGTCGAGTGAGCCGGCAGAAAGGCACTCGATGATACCGCCGGTGCTGGTCGAGGGCGTGTCAGGGTTAGGGTTGGATTCGAGAGTGGGACAGTCTTGCAGGAGGAGGACGTCGCAGTCTGTTTCGGCGAGGAAGGAGTGTAGGATGGAGGATGACACGGTGGGTGCGTCTCGGTTTGGGCTGATATGTTCTTGTTAGTTACCCTGTCGTTATCCTTAACCCAGCCTCAGACGGATAGATAATGTGCCTACCTCGCAGCCCAAACACCCCCTTTTGCCCACCCCCCATAGTACACCACCACCAAATCACCCTTCCCACACCCATCCAGCACCCCCGCTACCTTTCGCGACACCTCAACCGCCGCCCGGCGCGCCGGAATCGTCCAGTATTCCGTCTCATAGCAGTACACCCCGCGGAAAAGGGCCTCAAGGTCGCGGGCCTCGCGATCACGGGCCGGTTCGGCGACGGATGTGTCCCAGGTTAACAAGAGGACTTTCACTGTAGAATATGGAGAGACATCATGCTTGGGGTAGGCGGTAGTTGTGGCGGTCGTGAGGTGGGTGAGGAGAGTGGAGAAGTTGGGGAGAGCCATTTTGAGAGGTGTGTTGGTTAGTATTAAGGGTTGAATATTAAAGTTAGATATTAGTGATGAGGTCGTCAATAAAGCAGACAACACAGGCAAAGGCAGCAATGTCAAAAACGAAAGAATCAGCGGCAAAAACCAAAACATGCCGAACGTTGCAGTTCCAAACTCCCAGCTCAGGAACCCCAAGTCAGGGGCACGCAACATCTAATATCCCTCTGCCCACAACCACCAACTTACCAACCCAGCCATTGGAAAGAAACCCAGCCGCATCGCCCTGCCTTAAGCCACCCCGCTGGCACCATTCCACCACCTGCAGAAAACCCCAAAAACCCAAATCATCTCTCAAATCTCCTCCACAGCCGTCTCACAGTCTCACTCGCCTAAACCCGATTACCCGACCGTCCCAAACACTCGTAAACTCAGGAACAAGGCGAGACAAACAAACAACGTGTCGCCTCCTCTGTCGACCGCACAGGTTTCGGATTCCATTAGCGAGGTGCCTGTCACGGGCGGTGCTGGACTCCGTCGGGACGCAGGTGCAGGCTGGTGCAGGCTGGTTGCAGGCAGGGCAGGAATGGAAGCGTGGCACGTTGCGAGGGGATGGGCTAAAAATGGGTTTTTGGGTTTAGGGTTATTGGGTGGGGGGTTGTGATTGGTGGGGCCGGGATTATGTCATCCTCTAGATTCGGATGGAGTAATGGAAGCCGGGAAGACGAGAGGGGCGTTGCATTGTTGGAGCTAAACTCCCGGAAAGCGTAAAGATTACCGAGGTCGTTGCTATATACTGCTAACAGATAATCAGATTCTAGTTCGACTTGCACCGCAAATGCGAGTGGAAACAGCGGGTGGATTGAATGGTAAAAAAAGCGTAGGTGGGACATGTGTACCTCCGTACTTGATTAGTTAATCTTGATTCCTTCAGCACTTGCCCTTTTTGGAATGTTGAGATTAATTGGCTGCATCCTATTTGCCAATCAAGTGGGGCATGGTTTTCTGGTCAACGGTTTCTCCGGAATTGACGACACACGTTTGTAGATTTTCACAAGATTCCTTCCTACTTTGAGAATTACCATAATATATAACACTCTGCATCATATCCGGTCCCCCATCCTGAGCCTTCTTCTCCTTCCCATCCTCAGCAGCGGCCCGCCTCGCCTCCTACCTTTTCTCCCGCGCCGCTGCATCCGCAGCGACCCGCTTCTTCTCCTCCGCCGCCCTCTGCTGCCGCCGATAATACTCTCGCCGCCGATGCTGGTCTTGCAGCAGCTCTTTGACGGTCGTGGTTTCTTGTGCTTTCTCGTGTCTGTGGGCGCGGCCGTTGGCAGCGGGGAATTTGTTGAAGGGATCCAAAAGACTAGCAGCAGTCTCGGGAGTCTCGGCAGCAATCTCAGACGAAGTACGGACCTTCACCTCCATCGTACCCTCAGATTACCCCCAAGGGCGGGCGGCTATTTGGTAACCCTATTCTGCCGCAACAGCCTGACGTTGTTCTCGAGGATGCTCAAGTCGAGCTCGATGTTCACGAACGTGACCAAGTCCTGCCTGAAGATCAACGTGTGCAGGATGCGGTCCAGGACACGGAGCCAGATGCAGAGTCTCCCAAACCCCCTCCCCGGCGCAGTGGGCGTGCACGCAATCTAGACCAGCCGGCAGCAGAACAAGTTGCGTCGCAGCCAGCACAACCGCCGCTACGACGGAGTGCTCGGATCGCTGTGACGGCCGCAAGCGTTGTATCCCCAGCATCAGCAGCACCAGCAGCCACGGCAAGCAAGCGACAAGCGACCAGACGCTCCACCAGGGCTGTTCCCGCGGCCCCACCACGGGATGCTGTTGCAAAGTCTTCAAAGAAGGGAAGCCGTCCAAGCAGGAAGACGCAGAACGACGGTGTGACAAAACCGGCTGCTGCGAAAGCCAAGAAGGGGGGAAGAAAGCCTAGTACTGGAACAAGCACGGCAGCGGGAAAGAAGAGCACCCCCGCGACCAAGACAAGCGGGAGAGGTCGTGGGAGAAAAACACGGTAATTTGGTTACTGATAAGTTGCTTTCAGCGTGGGGTCGGAGTTGGACAATGGATAAGTTTGATAGCCATCTAGAATAACGACTTAATGGATCTTCTTTCCGCTTCCATGTTGAATTATTAGTTCTGTTTGTCGCTTCGGCATTGTATTGTCAAAGTCTCGGCTCATCAAGTCCAAGCCTCCCTCAACCGGGCTCACAACACACACGCCTTGCCTCCGAAACCCACTCACGACTGCGACCCCAAAGGAGCAAACAAAAACAAGCACCTGAAACATGAAAGCATTCGTTAAAAGGAGGGGGAAAGACAAAAACATACAACACCGGGGATTCCCCAGTCGTCACCGACCTGAGTACTAATCCAGCGGTCAAGTGATTTATCTATTCGGGGAAGAGGGGTCAAAAAACAGAGGGTCTTGGGATGCAAAAACGGGCGCCTCTTTTCCTCTGTTAGTGCTGTCCGTTTCAAGAAAACGGTGAGCCTGGCTGTGCCGTGCAAATCGTTCATGCTAATGCAGCAGATGCAAGAACCGCCATCGGGCGCAGCCCACCTTTAGGCAGCAGGGGAAATGACGAGCTGAGAAACGCCCTGTACGCTTCAGCGAGAGCGTCCCGACGTGGACTCAGGTGACCTGGCGTGCTCGCACTGCGAGTACCAGCCCCAGCACTCGTCAACCTCACCGAGCTGACCAACGTCGAACTGGACGCGCCCGTGGCCCGTATGGTCTGACCCAGCCGATCCAGATGCTCGTCGTGGAGGGAAAGCCTCGACCGCCGCAACGGAATCACGCGAGCCAGGAGCAGACCTGACATCGGCTACACGCGCTGCTCTCAAGGTTCACAACCACTTGCGGCGCCGACATCGCCCCTGTGGCTTGTGGCTTTGCATTGTGGCGGGAGTTACGCCAAAGGAAAACCAGCCGCTTATTCCGCTGCTGACTCTTAAATGTCTGGCCTCCTGGTCCATCTACCCTCCCATCTTCTCCTCTGCACCTCTCCCGTCCCTGCCACCAGTCGGCGCTTATTACCTATGCCGATGCCGACCAACTGCCCGATTATCAAATCGCTCTTTTGAGTCTTTCTCGGACTCGATCCACGGCAGTGACACGCGTCACCATTGCCAAACATGATTTCGGCATTCTTAGAGCAGTTTGCCCCCGGAAAAGCTGATCTTCAAACCATTCTCTTCCAAACGGGAAGCATTGCCGGCGGCTTGCCTGTGACTAGTGTGGTGTTGAGAGGGTGCACATTGGGAGTGAGGTTCCCTGTGTTCTCGGCATGGCTTGTGAGAAGACCGCCGGATGATAGCGGCGGTGGTTGTGGTTGATGAAGGCCTGGAAGTGTTGGTGGGGGTGGTCCTGCAGGTAGTGGAGGGCGCTGCGGGGCCGGTGCGATATGTCCCGCGGGGCCCGCCTGGGCAGCGGCAGCGGCAGCAGCCGCCGCAGCCGCCGCGGGATTTGCGGGGGAGGAAGTCGAGGGAACGCCCGCGAGAGCTGGAGAGCGCGGATTGTTGAAACCTGGGATTTTCAACGCTGTCTCAATCCGGCTTAGTCGACGATCAATCGACCCGAGTGCGGTCAGAATCGCCGTGAGCTGGTAATGCGGAAATCCGAGGTCTGCCATGGCTTCCCGGGCCCCGCCGGTTTGCGTTGGGGGGTGCTTCGGTGGCTCGCGGGGGGTCCGGTGGTCGTTTGGCCCCCGTAAACTTGTTCTTCCAGGCGGGTTCTGTTGGCGGATGTGCGCACTGTCTCTGGCACTGGAGCCGGCGTCTTCAGGGCCCGCAGGCCCGAGCGGTGCGGTGGCTGTGTTTTGCAATACGCTCAACTCGAATTTCGCGAAACTGTCGTGGTTTCAGGTTGCAAAATGGAAACGCGAAAATAAAAACCTCAGAAAGAAGGTCCCGGCCCGTGTTCACACTCCCCAGCGCGCCTGCCCGACGGGGCTCGAGTTGCGAATGCCGTCACGTGGTCTGCACGAATCAACGGGGAGCTGCGGGAAAAGGCTGCAGGCGCGACTGATCTTGATGCGGGGTTGCAGCAGTTTGCCGCGGAAGCCGCCTGAAAGTGCAATTCTTTCACATTTTGATAAACTGGTGATTACGACCTAACCGACATTGGACCACTAGCCTCCGCACGAGATCTCTGGGGCCCTTCAAATTGGCACCCGACCAGTCGCGACGACACCAATCCAGCTGGCATTCCACCCCTTGTCCCCGTACTTCTTTTCCAGGAACGCTTTGACCAGCCCATGGACCTCCTCCCTGGGGTGTTGCTTCCTCAGCTCTTTCGACCAGCAGCTGTCCATCACAATATCCAAGATCATGCCGTAGCTGGTTAAGAAATAGTCGACGCTGTCCATGCGATTCAGCCAGGCAAACACCTCCACGTTCACTTCTTCCAGACCTTTCTCTTCCAGCGTTTTCTGGATCCAGTTCACGTCGCTCCAGTTGCCCCACGTGGTGGTTTGCAACCCCATTTCCAGTGGAGCTTCAAAGGGAAAGGACTTGAAGGCTTCGCGGAACTCAGGCAACCAGGCGACGTCCCGGTGCACGGTCGTCAAACCGAGGACGCCACCGGGTTTGAGAATGCGAATTGCATCTGTATCGTGGTCAACTCTGTGAGCTTCTGATGGGTGTATCATTGGAACATACCATTTAGGGCACTTTCGGAGTCAGGTATGACGTGGAAACCAAGGTTGGTAGCAACGTGAGTAAAGGTGCCGTTATCAAACCCAGTTTTCTACCCATCGTCAGCCTGCTGCCATGGCACTTTGGAGGTGAAAAACTCCCGAAGAACCCTTACCTCAGCATCAATCTTCTTCACCTCCGTATTCACCCACTTCTCCTTCTCCGACCTGTTCGTTGCGAACCCGAGGACTTGCTCTGACGAATCGCCACAAATAATCTTGCTCTTGCCTAGCACCTCGGCCTTGACGGTACGTTGCAGGATGTGCGCCACGACACCCACACCGGCCGCATTCTCGAATAGGGTGAACGGTGTGTTCGTGTTTTCCGTCAAGCCCATCTGCGCCAGCATGGCCAGGGCCAAGGGGCTACTGACGCGGTCGGCATGATCCAGGAAAAGTTCTTCAATGTCAGTACCGTCAGGAGTGCGGAAATTGTTGAAGAGCTTGTGAAATCCCTTGGCTACGTTCGCCATAGTGGTCGAAGACATAATGGAGAGTACTGTTTGGGTTGTAACGTTGTGTGCTTGGAGGCTTGAGAATGAAAGGGAAGGAGAACGAAACAGTTTTGCGATGCTGCGCTGGAACCGGCTTATATACTATACCCCGAGATGGCCATGCACATCAGACATGCTAAGAAATGATCTAGGCGTCTTTGAACGACGTGATCATTAGGCCCAGGGCTCCAGGGGACGCAGCAGGTTGCTTACTGGAAAATCTCCGAAAAGGGTCCAATGTCCAGGCGCCCCTCGTATATCACACAGCAAACAAACACATACAGCTCAATCCCTGTTTGTTTAGTTATTAGCGTGAGATCTTAGACCGGTATCTTGGTCAAAATTTCAACTCTTGCTCCCTGAACACGACAACAACCGTTTAAAATGAAAATAGAATGAGCTATAAACACTATTAAAAAGGAAGGTACTATTCACGCTGTTTTTCTAGATTAAAATGCGTTGGTGTTTGACAAAGTTGAAGATTGCAGCCAGTGTCCCGGTCATAAAAGTCCCACGCTAACGAACAAACAGGGATCGTTTTGTGAAAGTTCCGAAAATATCACGAGTGGTCGCTGCCAGACGAAGTCCTGGCACCACTAGCGCAGCTGCACAGCCGTTCCGTTCACCGGATTATAGAAACATTTAGTCTCAGCGAATGCAGTTTAGCATCGAAGGGATCTGCATTTTTACTTCAGATCGCTATGAACCATCAATCTTTAGTCCGCTTTAATGATATTTTTACCTGTTGATGGATTTGAAGTATAGGATCTAACATTAGTACTACTGTGAAGAAACTAGATTGAGAAACTTCAATTGGCGACTGTTTTGGGCCAAAACACGGTTTTCTTCGAGGTGTGAGCGCATCTCTTGGGGCCAAATGTTATGCGCAGCCGCACTAGCGAGCTAAGATTTCTCCTGACGCCGCTTGCAAGGCACGCATAAATCGCTAGCCTCAATGCTGTGTCTTACTTGCGTGGACACTTCGATTCAGGCTCACGTCATCATAACCCCACCGACCATACTGGTAGGCATCGGATGATCAGCCGGTCTGGAACTTGCTCAAAGCTTGGAGACCAGGCCACGCAACAACAACAACTCACCCCCAGCGACACCTGACATGACTGCGCCAATGCCCGTTATGGCTCCATTCACCACCACTACCCCTGAGCCTCCGGCCCCACCACTCTGCAGAATAGCGAAGAGGCTCCCAGCCCCTACGTTTCCAATGCCACTGTGGATGGTGGCAGCTATCGAACCTAATCCACCATATTTATCGTCAAATCAGCGTGCCACGCTCGTCGGGTTTATTTTTAGGGATGAACAACATGAACGAGAGAGGCCCAAAGAACGAGGAGGTCTAGAGAAGGAATACAACCACGTACGAGCAGTGACGCCTTTAAGGACCGGTACGGCAATACCGCCAGGGGTGATCATGAAAATCACACCGCCCGCGATAATCCCGGACTGGATGGGGTGTGCTCTTTGACGAACTCGACGACCTGCTCGTTGCCACGGGGCGATCAGTTGTCAATCTGACACACGTGGCCTAGCCAACCTCTCCTTGTGCTTCAGGAGCCACACCAACCACCTGGTATATATGTGGACAAGCGAAGGGGCGCTAATATCTTACATCTCCAAAATGGGGCTGAAGTCGACCGAGGCGAGGGCTGTAATGGCGTCGGCGCCCGGAATGTCCAGAAGCTTGCCGCTCCCCGCCCCTACAATGGCAGCGAGATCGGCCAGTTGCATCGTGATGTACTTGACGGCCTGTTCAGTCGCGTGGTGGTGATGGTCGATAGCCTGAAATACGTTAGTCTGAGATTCGTTGTACGTACTTGGCGAGTAATCAATCGTGCTTTTGGCGGTTAAAACGTGTGAGGGAGTATATTTTGTCTTTCAGAGTCCGAAGAACTTACTAATTTCATAATTTCCTCTGCAACTCTGAAGATCGCGGATGGTGTTAACTGTAGGAACAGCTCCCAACGAATCCAACCCCACTAGTCCTGTCGCGGCTGCTTCGGCCGCTTGGAGGAGCTGTTTCACCGCGACCATGTTGGGTTATTTTGGAGAATGGGAAGATGAAGCTTGTTCGATCGATCGTGGTTAATCCGAGGTGTTTCTCTGGAAGGTGGTTGAGAGGGCTTTGGGCTTAGTGGAGTGGCAAGATAAAAAACCGAAAACCTGAAAAGATCAAGAAACGCGAGGATTTAAGGGAACCCACAGCCAACAGTCTCGGGACAGAATGAGGCCTATAGCATGTTAGCTTGTTCAGGACCGTTTGCCTTCGGTGGTGTGACTACAATCAGCCAGTTCCCCAATCTTCCCGTTGACATTTCTCAGTCTGGTTGGGTCAACGGCTCGGTGCTTAATGGGTAATTAAATTCTTATCATATTCAAACGAATGTTTCGCATTGATACCAACACTCCCAAATGCAAGTTTTGCATAACCATTTTGAACCCCCAAAGAAAATTCTACCTGCACTAATCCGGGCTCTTTTACCTTGAACCCTCATTGGAGCTTCAGGGCAAACAGATGGGACTTAGGTCACCTGAGATATTCAAGGACTTTTCTATCGCTCCTTCCTTTGGACGAACCCAGGAGCCCAAAGCGGACCCCTACAGCTCGTTGGTGGAATTGGATCAAACTGTTCCTTATCGTAGGGAGGCACCTAGGGACTTACTCTTTCATCGACTTCACCAATCTAGAGGGCGTCGAAGCACATGATAATGGAAAGTTGCGCATGCCGAGTTCTCAGTTACCAGTTACTACCCCCTCAACCGTGTCAAGACCCCAGATATTCACGCCACACATTGACAAAGACTTCTACGAGACTACTCGCCCGAGCCTCGACACTAAGAACCTCCCACCAGCAGCCACTGCTGACACTGCAGCTCCGGTGCCAGCCACGACTCCATTGACAGCCGCCGCACCCGCGCCTCCAGCAGCCGCACTCTGGCACGCGGCAAAAGCGCTCCCGCCCACCACGTTTCCGATCCCGCTTTGGATCACAGCAGCCATTGAATCTGTGGTAGGGATTCCCACGTTAGCTTGGGTGTTGGGCGGCGCAACGCATCGTGAGAGGGAAAGCCACATAATAATATGGGAATCATATGGGAGTGCAGAGATGACAACGTAATTAAGTCATCCTCGAAGGACGGGACCGAGAGAATACCCAGTTTGTATGCAGCTATGATAGCCTCGCCTAGAGCATGCTATGCCTCTATCTGTGTCTTACTCGACTCTAACCAGATTGCCGTAAGCAACAGTTGCTGGACCTACGCCAGGCCGCCTTCTCCTGGCGGAATACTATCGCCAAGTTTTTGGCTGCCGTATATACTTGGTCCGTAAGTCCCCGAACGTTCGTCACGTTGAGTTCCGTGGCGCGATCCTCGTCGATAAAATCAAGGGAGCAAGCGCAGATACGCAGGGTCAGGCTCGTGAACCCTGCTGTCACCTCGTGACGTGGAGTGTTCCTCCAGCGTTTGTATTTAGTCTTGAATGTATCGGGGTTAAGAGCGTAGGATTGTTGATGGTGTTTGCGGTTCAGCCAGTTATTAACGAGGTAATCTATACCTAGTCAGTATCCAGCGGCGAAATTTCTATATTGAAGAAAGAAGCGTATTTACCAATGTGTCTCTCGAACTCTAGCAGTAAACATAGAGCGGACTTGAGCTCTTTGGACTGCTCCTCGTCGCCTTCTTCTATGGCGTTCCAGCCCGGCTACTCGACGATTAGCCGGCTATAGTCCTCGGAACTTAACACTGTACGGTTCACTTACGTTTGGACTATGGGTATAACCTAAGATAGTGGGGTGATCGTGGACCAGGTAGCCCAGGCCTCTCAAGGTACGGTAGGAGTCCCGCTTCTCATCGTGCGAAGCCCCAGGGCCACGGTTGTCCGGCATTTTGATCGAATGTGAACGTGTGGGCAATCACTCCTGAGCCTCGGAGAAGTTGGGAACTGGGGGTGAGAAAGGCTTCGATGCAACGGCGAGGGTGGGTGGACGGTCGTGCTCCCGTTTCCCCACCTGTTTGGCCGGCCAACTTCGCACAGCCATCCCGGCTCCACGCCATGGCTGATGTCCGGAGTGTGGCGGCAACCGAGAAAGTAGACAACAACGACGCTTCTCCGGCACGGGTGAGCTGAGCAACAGAGTCCCTGTCTGGCTGTCTGGCCGGTTACTCTATACCCGCAATTGTCTGGCGAATGACTTTGATGACTCGATCTCAGGGGCGTCCTGTGATCCGCTATTTTATCCCTAACTACTTCCGTATATGCACGGCCGGCGGTTGCCAAACGCCGGCCTGGCTCTCTCGGGATCCAAGATCAAAAGAGCCCAATCTGTAAATTCGGCAAAGGGAGTAGGTCCGCACCGCTGCGGGAGAAGCGGTGCGCCACCCAGCTTGGCAGGGCAGGCAATACCGGCAGGGAGAGTAGGCACGTCGGATGGTCAAAGATTCGATGGCCCCAATCAGCTAAGGGCGCTGCATTTGCCAGGGCCCTTGTTGGGGGTCTCCCGAGCTCATCGGTCCGAGACACAAGCTGCAGCAGAGAGTGCGCCAAACCCAATTCGGCCTGTAACATGTTACAGGCCGAATTGGGTCTAGTTTACTTTACGGGGCCGAATTGGGTCTAGTTTACTTTACGGGGCCGGTGCCTCGGGGAAGACCTCCGCGGGCCTCGCAGAATCTCATCCAACAAGCATCTCACTATGGGCGCCCGACGTCTCGATAATTTTGTCGGGGATGACAGCTCCTACATCGGATATCTTTGGGAAAAGCTTATCGGAATCCCCTTGATCCAGTGTATCCCTCAGTTTGAAAACCTAGTGAAGCAGTGTCGCCGTCGACACCAAGTCCTCGACCTACCTCGCCTCCAGCTCGTCACACAACCCACGCCCCCGAGCTGCGATCTCAATATCTGGAATCCGGCCAAGAAGCCCTCAACGCCACGCCTCTCGCCACCAATATGGGTCGAACGAACCAACACCTTCAAAAATCTGCCCCAGTCAGAAATCCAGTGGCGCGAGAAGAGGGACAGCCTGGGCTTATCAAGTGCGCGGGGTATTTTTCATGCAGTTGATTTTTTGACAACAGGCCGGCTAGGCGGCAACAGGTGCTTCGCGGGCCATGCTACAAAGCTGGATTTGCAGGACGCTTTAGAGGCCTTTGCGAATACCGTTGGCCTTGGTACCGTATCAGGGAAACTCCATCACCAACTCTCCCGTTTCCTTTCCCTGATATTGATCGCGACGCTTTGTGTGGCAATACATGAGGGTCATCCGATAGACCTGGTAGACACTGCTCAACGGAAGTTCCTGTCAGCGAGTCGCGGGAGCGTATGCAAGACGCCGCCTGACCTGCTCGCTCGGGATCGAGCGGCAGTGCGATGGCTCCTCGCAGAACAGCAGCGCCAATTTGCTCGCGGACTGCGGCATCGCGCTTTTGAGTTGTTTCTCCTAGGTATGTTCATCGCTCTCCAATCAGGCGGTAATTAATAACATCACAACAGAGGGCGGGGTTTTATCCTTCTACCAATATTGCCCAAAGGAGCGGAAGGAAAGTCGTGTCTTCACAGAAAAGATCCCCCTATGCGACGTTCCGGAGGACGAAATACAAGCCTCTGTGCCATTTTGGATTCCCTTTTTTGTCAAGTTCCACGTCGGTGACCGCTGGAGGTGAGATTAATCGAATGCCACCATGGCCATTGGCTAACGAGCTCGCAGTTGCTCGACGATTTGCAAGGCCCTCGGGGTGGAGCTTCTTAGTCAGAATCATGATTTCCAAAGATTCGCGCAAATGGTGAAATCGGAGATGCCCGTCGCCCGCCAGCTTGGAAACAGAGACATTCACACAATGCCCAGCGCGCAGCCCTCGACGACACCACCCCACCCCGTCAACACCAGCCCGCAAGGTCAGGGCCCAACGAGAACAACAACATCAAGCCGTCCGGCCAAGCGACAAAGGGTACATCAAGAGGCGGATGAGCGACGTCACGGCAACTGGGGCCGGGTTTCGGCACTCCAAGGGGGGAGCTCGCCCCTCGACGTGCCTCCCGGCGCGGCCAGACAAGAATGTGCGAGCCAGCGTGCATGGCGACCCGTCAAAACACTCAGTGGTGTTGAACAGGCTTCGAGCTACAACAAATCCCCTGTTTCTGACGGCAGCCCACCCGGGATTGCTGGCGCGAGAGACAAAACGCCAGGGCATGGACCCAGCGTCGAGAGCGCCGCGCCCACTTCGATCGAGCAAGCACGTCTGCCCGCAGGCCATTCCTTCCGGAGCGTTTTGCCATATACGACCGAATCTGCTTCTGCATATGACCGAGAGGAAAGCGGAACAACAGCCTTCCGGCCTATCAACGCCAACCTGGAGCACCGCCACAGACTGACGGGTCAAGACTGGGTAGGTGGAATTTGTCACGACAACTAGGACCGGGTCCTAGCTCAACAGACGTCACCTCTCGACTTGTTGGCTAACGTGGCCGGATGGGGCTATGAGGAGCGGCGGCCTACGGGGGCTGTTCCAACCCTCGATCCTGTGGAACCGATCTCGGGCACCCCTGTTCTTGATTCTGATGACAACCTGCTCGGCACGATACACGAGGCGCTAAGACGTGAAAACGATGTTGCTACGCTAAGCCCCCGGGACTCGCCGTTAGACGAATCCGATGTCGAGGGCTTGCTAACCTTGTTCGGCCATCAAGGCCACCCGTTGGATCAAGGCAGGCGCCGTGCATATCCACTTGGGTTTTGGCCGCACGCCGATGGTGGGACTGAGGCGGATAGAATAGGGATTTATACGCGCCAACAAGGAGTCTCGGCCGGTACTGTAGGTTCTCCTACCACGGAAATCTCACGTCTAACCCCAGACAACCATGGCCAAGTCGGTACCGGCAGGGATCTGCAGGAAGTCTCGAGCTTGGACCACATCGACATCGGGGACGTTTCGGGATACAGCACATTCTCATTCTTTGATTTCACTGGGGCTGCCCTCTCTCCTTCTCCCTGATGCTCGTTTTATCAACATTGGCAACGTCGTCTTGGGCTCCCGCAATATGAAAGACAACCGGCAAAAACTTGATCTCGCCATTCAGGAGAATAAGCGCGCTGTTCTCCGGCAGGAGGACTGGGTCCAGCCAATCGACGGGTTCTCGAGTTGCAGTGTCATGCTTGTTGGGTAGGTGTTGGACTGCGCAAGCCTGGAAAGGGAACGGGACAAGAACGGCAAATTCTCCGGTTGATGTTGAGATGGAGCCTTGTTTGAGCAGACACGGAGCTTGTGCATCGACTTGGGTGATGCTGAGGTTTTGACTTTCCGCCCATTCCTTTATGGCTGGTCCCTGTGCTTGCTCATTAGAACGAAATCTGAGTTTGGATGTTTATAAATACATACATATTCCTTTCTGAATTCTGTCAAGATGCATTTGTGCAGCTCATCGTATGCGCATTCGTAAAGTTCTCCCGCCATATCTTCTTGTCGCTTCCAGCTCACCTCGCGCAACCCAGCCTCCTGGGCCAATTTTCGGAGTTCGCTCTCCGGTGGCTTCGCGGCTGGCGGCCGTAGTCCCAACAGCTTCGGCATATTCGTTCTTCGTTGTGATAACGTGTGAAATAACGCCTTGTTCAATAGAGGCGGGGGGAGCAGTATTTAACACTTTATGTTGGAGATCAAAATTGGCGCTGCTAACGACCCAAGGGAGACTGAAAAAAGTGGGGAGCCATTGCTGCCTAAGTTGGTGTAACATTTTAAACCGGGGGGGAATTTACTGTCGCATCCAAAATTGTCCTAGTAAACCCACTTTTTCAACATCCTCCACAAGATCAAGAAGATAACAGTGCTATTTTACTCTGCTTTTCCAAAGAAATCCTTGGCGGACATGGAAACAGAAGGTGTCACTGTGTTGATGTCTATATGATTGCTCGACTTGTTTAGCACATCATCATCGTAGTTTGACTTGTCGGCCGCCTCATCTGCCGCTTAGCCTGAACCTGTGTCTTGTCAGACAAGCGTCCAGCTCTGGATTACCGGTACTTACTGCCGGAGGACTCAGGAAAGGGCCCCCGCCGGGCCAATTGTCACCTCCACTGCCACCGGCCGGATCCGAAGCCAATTTTGCCGCTTCGTTCGGGTCGGCCTGTCAGGCTCTCCTATCAGCCCCGTCTCGGTCAGCTGGCGTGAAGTGGCCGTACCGGGGAATTTACATAGCAGCTGGCGAGATTCCGGGGCGGATGACCAGCGTCCAGAGCAGCCTTGCCCGGGTTATCTTCCGGATTCTTAGCCGAATCGTTCGGAGGGTTGGCCTGCTCGGTCGTCTTGTTAGCTTATTCTCTGTCAGCTGGCTCAAAGGGAACCCACCGGAGGGTTTGGAGGAACCAGTGGAGTCTTATCGTTGTCGTTGATATCCGACATGATGAGAAATCCTATACCTAGTCAGATGATACTTCCCAGAGGACTTCTTACATTTACGGTAATGGGTTAGAATAGAGACGAGAAAATCCTGGTCGAAAGTAGAAGACGGGGAATAGCTGTTGAGGTACTTCAGGATATTCTCTAGCCAAACAGTATACAGTCACTCGTTCTGGAGGACTCTGGGAGTTCTCCAGTAAGCAATACAACTTGTTCATTGCAACCTGCACGACGCTGTGAACATTGAGACCAGATCATTATCTTGTGAACCTTTTGGCCTCACCGGATCACAACCCTTACGTCATACCTTCAGTGAACCCTTTTAGAGTGTGGTTGAGAGTCGATCCGTCACAAATACGTAACCTACTCTTTGCTGAGTTATTAATTTGACCCCCGAAAAAAAAGAACGGCTAGGCCCAGAATCACGTTCTTAGCCTCCCCGCAATAATGACAGGTTCTCGTCTTCGTTGTTGTTCAAAGAAGGCGGTTTCTTGTCCTCAGAGCGACCAGTTTTAGGCCCTTTTGAGCGGATATCAAAGATTTGGATGTAAAATGACTGAAACTCTATAAAACAAAGCTCCACTGATTCAACTGTAACGCTCTATTGGCAGAGGTAATTGATTTTCTTCATTCCCCGTATATGACAATAACCTAGCCTCTTCCAGCAGTATACGGTCTTTAATAAGTGTCACCACAATGCTAGGCCCTCCACCACCGGCGAAGCAGTGGATTTGAACAGATCACAATAAAAAAACAGCTCGGGACCGTGAAGCAGGTTATTACACAAAGATAACTCCGCTAAAGGAACGTTCTGGATGGGGTTAATTAGTGAAACTCAAGTATTTTCTTTGTTACAACATCACACAGTTTTGAAAAATAACGCCACACAAAGAAAACCAAACAATCCACTTGACAACGCAAGCCTTCCTGTCAATGAGCTGTTCCGGTTCAAGGCCCAATACCCTCAGCAGCAGAGACCTAAACCAACTAATTACGTCCCGTGATTGCACCATGGCAAACTTGTTTTAGTTTGGAAGAAGGCCAGTTTCTCAAAAAGATGTTGTCAGTGCGGACGGTACGACTCAGTGGTCAAGAACTCAAAGGGTATATTCGAGGCTGAATGCTAGGGTTAGGGTTAGTTTTCGGGTGATGTTTTAAGTGCCACTGACAGTGCTCGTTGGATAGTCAATACAACTGCTTAACTCAATGTCACGCTTCTCTTTCTCGTAATTAGTCTGGCTTCGCCAAAACACCTGTTCTTCCAGCTTGTAAAGAGTGTCAAAGATTGCGTGTTCCGTAGCTAGCTAGGTACCTACTATAGCCATTCCACCTGTTCCAGTTGTGTCCCGGAGCCTTGTTTTCCAACACTTGAACATTTTTATATCATTAATTATACGACCAAGTCTGGACCTATTTAACTAGCATTGAGATGATTCCTTACCCCCTCTCTGCTGCCCTCTGGGCCGCTCTCTCGGCTTCCAAAGCCGAAATCAATCCCAGCCAGCGTGCATGCTTCTTGGGCAGATAGTTCGGCAGGCCCAGGAAGGGCGGACACTTATGCCCCCGCTGGCCATGCCCTGGGCAGGGCGTGGTGCCGTCGATCAGCCACACGGCCTCCTTGGCGCCGGGGATATCCATGCGGCTGTAGAGCCACGCATACAAACCAACAACGGCGCTCTCGATGGCGCCGACGACCCACGCGTGGTGCGGGCTCGACGCCTCGCCGATCAGCACCAGGTTGCCGGCTGGCTGCACGATCTTGGGCCACAGGGTGCTGAACTGCTGCGGGCGGAAGAAGGCGAAGGAGCCGGCGGCCGTGGCGTCGTCGGACCAGTTGTGGGCGTAGTGGTCGAGGTAGGACGCCGAGATGGTGGCGAACAGCTGCTCCTCGTCGCGGCGTGTCGTGGTGTGCAGCCGCGCCAGCTCGCGCAGCAGCAGCGCCTTGAGCTCGTCTTCGCCGGCGGGCGAGGCCCGCGAGATCAGGGCGCCGATGCGCTCCGCGTCTTGCTGCCAGGTATACGAGACCAGCAGCACGGCCGGCTTCGAGGGGTTGTCGAGCACGTTGTACGAGGGGTACACAAGCGTGCGGATATGCATGTCCGAGTGGCCCAGCCCGCCTTTCTCGACCCGGTGGCCGCCGGGCATGATCTGGCGCCACCAGGCTTTCGAGAACTTGATGCCCACCTTGCACGACTCGCCGTAAGCGAGCGTGCGGAAGGTCATGTTGGTGCTATTGGGCAGGAGGCATCCGGTCGTGTCGATCCGCCGGAGACAGCCGAGCGTGGTGGTGTTGAAGACACCGTCATAGACGCGGCTCTCGGAGGGCGAGTTACCCTTGAGCGACACTTCCATCGCAAGCGTGAGCTTGTCGGACTGCCCAATCTTGAGGATAGCGCTAAGGGCGGAGACGGGCGAGGAGTAGGTGGGCTTGGTGCTGAGCCGCTTCTCCATCAACTTCGGGAGCTGCTGTGCCCCGCCCATGATACACCACCACTTGGTGGACGCGTCATAGTCAAAGTCGAGCGACTCCAGCACCGTCTCACTGAACGCTTGGTCGTACCAGTCGGTGCCGCTGTTGTATCTTTGTTAGCAAGCCGGTTGCTAGCTAGCGGGTAAGGGTCAAGGTTGTAGTGGGGGACGGTGGAATGCCTACCCATTCATGGTCTCGAGGAAGTTGATGGTGCTAGCGTTGAAGGGTGGCCGTGTGGGGTCGGGTCTGGCGGTGCCGGGTGGCTTCTGCTGGTTCGTAGCCATCCAGGCACGCGTGGTGTATTGGTCAAACTTCATGAGCAGTTCCCAACCACGGCGGCCCCCCCTTGCCGCATCTTCCTGCAGGGCCTCGCGCAGGTCTTCAATGGCATTGTCAACAACCTTGCCGGGACTCATGGCAAGGACGCTGGATACCCTAGTGCGTCAGCCTTGATTTTCCTGGTACGTACGTACATATCGAAACATAATACAACAGGGGAAGAATGAACGTAAGAATGAACGTAAGAATGAACGTACGCAGATGGGATCGGGGGGTCTTTGGGATCCTCATTGAAACCAAAAGCATCATTACCCTCGGCAGCAGCAGCGATGTTGACATAAGATCCCCACTTTGTCTGGTCGTTAAAGCGGAAAGGCTCGTTTTGGTCCTCTCCCGTGCGATTGGTCATGCTGTAGGGGACAAGCGATCCCTTGGGTGTATCCTCCCTCAATGGGCCCATGGGCATCCCCAGCCAGTCAAACAGTTTAAACACGCGCTGCATGATGGGATTCTGGGGGAACCGCATGGCGCCCACGTCGTAGTAGTCGTGCGGGCCTTGTGGGTTATGGGGCGGTTTCGGCTTGAACTCGTGGGTAAACATCCGTCCGCCCACCCGAGAGGAGTCGTTGGCTTCGAAGATTTCGTAGTCGACGTTAAACTTGGGGATGTGTTCGTTCAGATAGTCGAGCATCATGCCGAGGAACAGCCCAGCGACACCGGCGCCGACAATGGCCACCTTCGATGGAGTAGGCCGAGGGATGCGACCAAGACTCAACTTCTCTAGGACCTGTTGGATGTCGTTGGATGGGCCTATATCAGGCAAGTCTTGGAGTACGCCATCCAACAGGGGGGGCAAACCGTGAAGGGGATCGCTCTCGTTGTCAATAACTCGCTTGATCTGTTGCTCGACAGTGGCAAGCGCGTACTGCTGCCTAATCGTCGGACTCGTCGGAGCATCGCCCCAGTAAAGTTGAGTCGACATGACAGGCGGTGTTGTCTAGATGCAGTAGAAATCTCCAAGAGTTGGGCACTGTAGTGTGAGTAGAAGACTTTGGGGAGAGTTGCTGGATATCGCTGAGATCCTGCGTCCTCTGGGGTCGTCGGCCGGCAGCTTTGTAGATATCCGGCGTTCTCAGCTCTAGGTCCACTGCCTAGGAGGGGCAGGTGCAGGAGGGGATGGTGCAGGAGTGGAAAGTACAGGAGGGGAAGTTACAGGCGAGGGTAGTACAGTTTGACAGAGCAGGGAAAAGGGGCAGCGCGGGGGAAAAGGGAGTGGCCGCTATACGAGGGAGCGTTTTCGCTGACTATCGTTTTGATTTCCTTCTTCTATTCTTTTCTTATCTCTCTCGAAGTCTAGTTATATTATATATATACAGTCAGCTATAAGGGGGCCTTATTCCTTGACACTTCTTTCTTATAATTATTGTATTTCCTCATTAACTACTAGGCTAGGCCAAGCAGGTCCCATTGCCTCCTCAGAATGAATCCTCGAAGGACAATCGGGAGACGAACTCTGCTTTGCAGGACGTCCGACGTCGCCGCAGGAAGCCCGAGCGGTATCAACCCCGCCTCCGTTCTAGACAACCTGAGGGAGTTTGCTTTTACCGAATGGTCGTTGGAGTTGGGCACTTCTGCAGTTACGGCGTGCAGAACGCTTTTCTCTCTTAATTGGTCTATTTACCAATAATTACCATCCCGCACCGCCCTCGACGAATCGACGTACAGTGAGAGGCTCGGGGCTATTTCCGCCCGGAGCAAGAGATGTCATTGGTAAAGGTGGCCAGAACGGTCGAGATGTGAAAAGGTGTGGTTCTACCGGAACCTTGCCGAGCCTTCTCATGTCGACCCCTCAGTTGCGCGTAACGCCCGAGCTTTACAGCCATGTCGGAAATGTCGGAAAGTTGCCAAGTCTAGATCCTATACGACGTGGCTTGCATGACGACTGCAAAGAGAGCAGCTGAAAGCTTAAAGGAACTTCAAGCACCTCACCGGTAAACGACGACATGCTCAAGAGTGGCTGGCTGGCACACCAAATGCGTACGTATCTTCCCACCCTTCCTGCTTTGTAACGTTCCATTTCCTGATATCATATCACACTCCGTGACAGGAGATTTACCCAATCATCCTTATCCTGTGCCACATGCGATCAGTTGCACCGCAATCCGTTGTTGGAGAATATGGGTATCAGACATAATGCATCAGTTCTACGGAAGAATCAAGAGCGGGGGAGGCCTACTACCCATATTTATCCGGTGTAGTGGCCTTGCCCGTGAGGCAGTATTTCACAGAATAGGAAAGCCAGAAAAGGAGGCCGTTCTGAAGCTGGAATTACATGTAGCGTTTAATCATCTACTTAAAGTCTCTGGAGAAACTTGAGTATAGGTACCAGGTAGTTATTAAGTTATTAACCATATTTTGTCCCAAAACTTTTGTTTCCCAGCTTTGCGACCAGTGAGCGGGAAACACAACTTCAACGAGTATATACCTATCTTCAAAGTCTCTCCTTACGAGATCTCAATCGCGTGAAGTTGTCCCTTGCGATGGAGGGTTCAGAGGGAATCTTGCTGCCCCCCGTTCGGCCGCAGCGGCCCCATCGCTGGGCGCGCGACTACCTTTTCGATGTCTGCCGCGAATTGGGAATCACGCGAATCTTTGGCGTTCCCGGTGTCAATGAAATCCCTTGGATCGACGGCACCTCGTATCCCGAGAACGGCGTCGAATATGTCGAATGCCTTCACGAGAACATCGCCATCGGCGCGGCCATGGGCTCGGCGCGCATGACGGGCAAGCCGGCCATCCTGATCGTCCACGTCACCCCTGGCATCGCCCACGCCATCACCAACCTGTTCAACGCGTCGCGCTCGCAGTTTCCGCTGGTCATCCTGTGTGCGCAGCAGCAGAACGCGCTGGTGGTGCAGGAGCCTTTGCTGTCGTCCGACACCGTCCCTCTCGCCCGCAACTACTGCAAATGGGCGCATGAGATGAAGTCAGAGGACGACATGAAGCTGGTGCTGCAGCGCGCCTTCAAGGAGGCCATGGCGCCGCCGAACGGCGCCGTGTTCCTCTCCGTGCCGTGGGAATTCACCATGCGCCGCATTCCCGACGACGATCGTCTTGAGGGCATTACCCGGATTTCACCCCGTTTCGGGCCCGATCCGGACAGCGTGCGCGACCTCGCCGGCCGGTTGGCGGCGGCGAGGAATCCGCTGATCGTCGCCGGCGATGCGGTCGGATTAGCCGATGCCTGGAAGGAACTTCGCGATCTCGCTCACGTCATCGGCGCGCCGGTCCTGCAGCAGGCCTTGAGCGCCGTCGCCAATTACCCCAATAACGATTCCCATTGGCAGGGAGAACTGCCTAACAATCAGGCCGGCATGCAGTCGGCATTCAAAGACCACGATGTCGCTTTCCTCTGCGGCTTCTCCAACCAGGCGCAGGTGCTGATCTACAAACCGTCCGACGGCCCGCTGATCCCGGACTCGGTCAGCAAGCTTTATCTTAGCAACTGCATCTGGGACATTGGCAAGAACTATCACGGCGACGCCGCTGTGTTCGCCGACATCAAGGTCGCTCTGCCGCAGATCACCACCCAGGTGAACGCGGTGATGACCCCGTTATTCACCACACAGCGCAACGAGCGCAACCGTACACTGGCCTACGGGGCGGTCGAACGGAGCGTGCAGTGGCAGCAGTATCTGGACCGGGCCATGAATCAGGACAATGTGTGGGCGGTGGTGATCGCCGACGCACTGCGCCGGCAGATCGAGCAGCGCCACCTTCAGGACAATTTCGTTTATGTCCACGAGGCCATTTCCGATCCCTCTCCCTTCCAGTATCTGCTGCCCTTCGCCAAGCCGACCAGCTACTATTCCGTCGGCGGCGGCTCGCTCGGCTGGTCGTTTGGCGCCACCATCGGCATCAAGGAGGAAGAGCGTGGGGTGCAGGGAATCGGCACCAAACTAGTGGTGGCCGTCACCGGCGACGGCTCCTCGCTGTTCTATCCGCAGGCCTGGTGGACGGCGGCGCACCGCAACCTGGGGATCCTCTACATCATTACCAACAACTCCGAATACCACACCCTGCAAGTGGGACTCGGGACGATTGTCCAGGTCTATGGCGAGGCGCTGGGCTACGATTGGAAGCCGCGCACGATGGACCCCGGCTATCTCACCATCCGTGGCCCCCAGCCCGACTTCGTCGGAATCGCCAAGGCCATGGCCGGCATCGAGGGCAGACACGTCGAGCACCCGGCCGAGGTCAACAAGGCCGTGGGCGATGCCGTCCGCTATGTACTAGAGACCGGCAAATCCTTCGTACTGGAAATCAAGACGGTTGGGCTGAGCAGCCAGCAGCAGCCGCCCGACACTATCGATGACCGTGTCATCACCCCGTCGCTTTGGACTCAGCCGCATTTGGACTGGGTCCATTCCGGCCCGGGCTCGGCCCGCCGGCCGGGCGATACGGCGCTGATCTGCTAGTGGTGACTGGTGACCAAGCGGGCCGGATGTAACGACCTGGCCAGGAGGGATCGGGTCCGGGTGGTGGAACCAATAACGAAGGACCCGTCTGCCGAGCAGGATCGCTCGGGTCCCGGGTCCTCGTTGGAAGGCACGAAGGTACTTCACGGTCATTACTACCTAGTAACTGTAGGGGCCTCATGCCCAGCGAGACTTGATGGTTTTGTATCTTCAAGCAGAGAAATAGTCTTCACGTTAAATTGAATAACCTTTCTGTTGTCTTGTAAACTGCAACAGCAATTTTACACGTGATTTCATCGCCGCGCTCTAAGCCTGTACCCTTGTCTCTCTTCGTTCTACAAAGACAGCTCTATTCGTATTCACCATCCCCTTCAAACCTCAAGGCACTCCCCTGGACCTACACGATCCAACGTGTGAAGTCCCTCAAAGTTAGGATTGCAACGCCGGAGCTGGAGGCGTAGGCCACGGGGGGGAGTCTTGGCGGTACAGAACTGTTATGGGAAACCCGCACTACTAATACATGGACGCTAACAGCAGAGTCTACTGCATTATCATCATGCTATATTATATACAATCATACCCACACTTTGCCACACCGGTGTCAGGAGTTAGCCGGATGTATACCTTCCCGTACTATCTCGTGCTGTCCGATACGCAACCGCTAACTGCTAATTCTTTCAAAGGAATTCATATTATTTCACCCACGGTATAGCGGAACGCGAAATGGGTGCCGCCGGTTATTTAGTTTACTTCTTAAAGGCCGTGGGGTAGATCTGTAGCTTGTGTCTCAAACGCTTCCTGGAGTTGTGATTTGAGTAATTAACGCCTGATAGCGTTTCCAGAGGGATGGAAGCCATGACAAGGCTGTGGTATGCGCGCTGTAATTGGACGGATGCACTTCTTGAATCTCTGTGAAAGTGCGGGGGTTGATGCCCGACGGCGGTATCTGGTGCGACGTGAACTCATTGCTGCGGTGATCGCTTTTGTCAACTCAATAATACAACTTCAGGTTCCAACGAAAACCAGAACCGGGGCGACATTGAGTGTCACGATGATCAGCAATCTCAACCGACAGCCGTCAGAGTCAGAGGACCAGGGCCTTGATCAAGCCGAAGAAAAGAAAAGCAGCCTTGATACCTACCTTGCCAGCATCGGGCTCGGTCAATGGGTGCCCGAAATCCATTCCGCTATTGCCCAAGGGGCCCAAGACGTACTTGCCATCATGACACAACCGTGGTCGGTCGATAAGATACGCCAGATGGCCCGCGAGATGCGACACTCCCCGGCAGGCATCATCCAGGTGACAGGCATCATGTGGTACCTCACCTATCTTAGCATCGAACGTGGCCAGACCTTTGTGACAGGCGCCTATCTCTGCCGAGATCCTGAAGGCCGGCTGTCGGCCTACTTTGGCGGTATTGGCTCACCACGCCTCAGCAGCCATTTGAAGAGACATGTATCCCCGGGATGCACCACCGGCATTGATCTTGGCTTCACCGCGGGCAAGTCCAGCAAGGCAGGCAAGTCGGGCATTGCGCCAGAACGCCCACCTCCACCTCCGCTTCCCCATGGCCACTGCCACGTTCTCTCCATTGCCATCGTAAACGACACCCGACGAGGAAAATGTCTGTATCTCAAACCGGAGCGCTACGGGGTGCATGGCCTTCGCAACCTGGCGCACCACACGATCATGTATGGAAAGTCATTGAAGCGCAAGCACACCTTTGGCGGGAACGACGTCCCCGGGATGCGGAAAGAGCGTATCCCGGATGACGTTGTGGCCGCCTTTGCAGAGGTGGTGACGGCACTGGAGGACGGGGCGGATGCTATTACGGAGGTTGGCCGTGGTGGTAAGGGAGAGGGGATTGGTGGGATGTACGAATTTCTGACGAGGAAGCTGGGTCAGGCTGACAAAGGTGCGGCGCTGCTGCCTGAGGGGTCTGAGAAGCGCATGCGGTGTCTCCTAGAGCGGCTCGAGTCGAAGTACGATTTTGTCCATCTGCGGTTTGGGAATGAGGTTGTTATCGACCTCCCGACTGAGGTCAAGCGGTCACTCCTGGAAGCGCCGGGCGTGGTGTCTTTATTTCCGGTTACCGGCCTGTAGGCTCATAGCTAAAGTAGATGAACCAAATCGCCGGTGGGTCGTCGGCTCCGGCTGCCGCCAATACAGCGTCTCTATTACTTATAGGGCAATTGGTAAATAGCTTAAGGTACTAGCTAGTAAAGGTATTATAGCTTAACTGAATAGCTTATGAATAGTAGGGCGTATGTTACCAAGTGGATTATTTAGCTTTATATAGGTACCTATTGTTACATTTCAAATCTTATAATATTATGAGAATTTATGCCACGTTGGAAACTCGCCAAGGAAAACCAGGAGCCCTGTTTTCATATCGTCACATTTTTCGACCAACACGCTTCTACTGCTTCTTGAACCCAACTATCGTTACCGTCAATCATATACAACTATAGACAGTAGAAAAAACAGGATCCCGTCCACTGTCCCCAGATTAAACTACTGATCGCAATTTTATCTAGGGAGAAAGGCAAAACGTATCGACATGGCAGAGGCCTCGCCGTCGATTGTTAGTGAAGATGGGATCGTATGGCCGTCCCGCCGCTGTGCCTTGCGGCAGTGCAGTTGGCGTATGTTGTTTTGAGGGGCTTGAAGATGTTAAGCGGCCTCCTCCCTCCCTCTCACGAGTAGCAGTAGCCCTTCAATTCTTTCCCCCTCCTGCGCCCACAACCTGCAGGATGCCCGTGATGGATTGTATCAGACCAAATAACAGAGTCAGCGTGATCCCCACCACAACAAGCCAATAATTCCACCACTGCCCCATATCTCGACGGTCATGCCACCATTGGATTGGCCCTGTTGGTTTCGTCTTGTCAAAAGCATCCGACAGGTCCAGAAGCCTCCCTTGCCAATACGAGTAGGCGCGTGTGCTCCGATTGGTAGTTGTGCGGTATTGGAGTTGTGGATCTAGGCCGAGCCTTGAAACCTCCTTCGAGATCCAGACGTTGCAAGGCGGGTTTCCCTGGGGGATGAGAAGATTGAGGGTTTCGACAGTTTCGTCCAGGAGACCTGGCGGGAGGAGGTTGTTGCTATGCATGCAGGAGGTTGGCATCATGCTCCCCCTGGGTGCTGGAAGAGATGGAGGGAAACAATCTTACCTGGTACCAGACATCCTTATCCGTTTCAACACCGCCACCTGGGAAAACAGATAGAGAAATTTCCCCCTCATGGTGAGATGCTCTGCTAGATCATTTGTCCACAAGACCCGGATATTGGCGATCTTCCTCATGTCAACTACATTCAAGGAATCGGAGAACCGTTCAGCGGTAGAGATCTGGGAAAGCGGGGGTTGGGTAATTTTTGGAGCACGTCAACCAGGCTCTGGGTTTTGGGCCACGGAAAGCAGAGCGCCAGGACGTGTCGCTGCGCGGGCATGGTGGTCCTGACGTTGACCATCAACCACAAACGAACGGTGAACTCGATCGAGGCCAAGAGTTTATCCTCGTCGGCGGCGAGGGCCGGGTTGGTAGCCCGGATTATGGTCAGCAGGTCGGCAAGGCTCAGGGTAGGATTCGCCCTTATGATGGCCAGGATGGTGAAGGTGTCGCTAAAGGACCGGATGGAGTGGTACGACGATAACGAAGGGCTACATTCTTGCTCGAAGTGGGTGAAGTATGTTGAAAATTGGTCTGTGACTATTTGCTGGGGAGCTAGGCCGGCGGGCAGCGGCCAGAGATGCTCGAGAATAGCGGCTTTCAAGGATTCTTGAAGCGGAGAATTGGAGAAGACGGGTGACTGAAGCAACGGGTTTTCAGCTGTCGTTACCATAGTGCTATGCAGGGGATCTACGGGCGGGCTGCGTGAATAATTAGGTACAAGAAGAATAGCTTCATTTGGGCCCTTGGGGACTGGAAAGTCTTTGCCCGCCCGATACCTAGGGCTGTTAACTGCTCCTCTGGAACTTCAACCCGTCAATCATCCACGATAGGCTCACATCCCCAGAAATAGTGTAAACCATGGCCGGTCCCTCAACAGTCGTGACAGTCGCAGCCCCGGCAATCACTGCATCGACGCCAGTTGCCGGGCATCCAGCACTGATCAGACACACCCCAGCTGAGCCAGCTCCGAGTCCCGCGGCATCCCAGCCGGCTCAACACCCACCAGGACCACCACCAGCGGTGGCCAAGGCTGCGCCGACCCCGGCAACCATCTGGGACACCGCGCACGACCGCCTCACTCTGGCCTTGGCTTTGAAGCAAATGCTCGCAACGACACGTCCGAGTTATGCCAAGTCGTTTGGCGCCGTCAAGTACGAGCGACCAACCTCCTCCGGGGCCAGGCTTGTCGTGTGGACGGTAGCAGTCAACAGTTTCGTGGATGAAATTTAGACTACTTTCCTTGTCCCCTCACTCATGTCATTGATCGAGGCAAACAAGGCGAACTTAGAAGCTCAACGGCCGCCCAAGTGCCCGGGAAACCCGTCATATGCTCTACAATGCTATATCCTCAGCCACGACGAAACCCGCGCGACCCCTTACGTCTGTGTCATCTCACTGGCCGCCTGGTTCCGCAAAGCCATCTGCGGTCTCGTTGTCAAGAGTATGCAGCTCAAGCCGCCTGGGTTTAGGTGTGTGGGATTACACGGCGATCCTGGATTCCTCACCTCGCCGAGCATGGCGTTATCCTCACATGAGATGAGCATTGCTCCCCTACGGGATTTTCAAGTTCGAATTACTTCCCAGCATGGAGGGGCCAATGGGTTAGGTATTGAGATTCTCCACGGCGAAGCTGTCATCAGCCGAGCTACCATCGGTGGCGTTGTGAATATCGGCAATCGCCTGTTTGGGATGACCGTTCGGCACGCTTTCAAGATGCCCGAGCCTCCAGAGGGAGACCCTCAGGAGGCCCCAGAGGATGACGGCTCCACGGTCTCGAGCGACTTCGAAGGCGACATTTTTGATAGTGATTATGAGGAGTCTGACGACGACGACAACGCCCACTCGGGTTTCGGTCAACAATTGGGTGGCAAGGCTCAAATTCACGAGGAACAGCCAACTCCGGCTCATGAGACGCCGCTTGTCCGCCGCCACGACTATGGCCGTGCCGGAGATGATCCCGCAGTCGACGCCAGTCCCAGTCAAGCCATGTACGGTGCGGCGTTGATTTCTCACAGGGCCCAGTCGTCGCTCGAGAGTACTGCCGTTAATCGCCGCGCTGAGGCATTTGGACAGCTCATCATACAGGAGGCGGTAGACGACACCGCTCTAGTCATGCCCGACTCCCGGCTCGATTGGACATTGAAAAGAGTGGCTGGCGAACTGGACAACCAACATTTCTCCAAGCCATTCCATTACTTTTCCTCAGGGAGGATCCAGATCAAGACACCTTCACAGCTCATTCAAGGAAGCCTTGAATCCAGCGGCATCTTCGGTATTCACAACGTTTTACAGCCCCAGCCAGTCCTGATTGCCTCAACGCCGGACGTGACCGCTCAGCCGGGAGACTCTGGTTCCTGGGCAATGAAGCTGAAGAACGGTGCGTTCGAGGGGATGCTGTTGGGCGCCTGCCCCTCGATGAGTAGCGTCTACCTCCTCCGCATGTCAGACATTCTTGCCGATATTTACCAACAAACGGGCCTTGGGCCGACGGTCTCGGTGCCGCAAGTGTTCCACCGGCGACCTCGCCAAGAGGGCTGGGCTCCTCCTCGCGGCGGAGGTGCGTTTGCGGCGGCGGATCAATATAGAACACCCGAGGGAGGGGCTTCCGTCGCGGACGACCGTTTCATTCCTGCGGTGAGTGGCGAGGCCAGCGCGGTCACCTCTTCAGAATTGGACGATAGTAGTACAAACTGGGAACACGAACTAGAGGCCTCCACGCCGCATGACCAATTTGGGGCTGGGATGGAGACGTTGGTGGAGAGGAGACGGCGGATTCAGAGGATTTTGGACAGGTTTGGGGCAGCCCCATAACCGGCACTATTAAGTCCGCTGTCGCAAAAGACAATGGTCCATTGCAGCAGCAAGTAGGACCCTTTTTATGCTGTGACACCCGCGGACCGCTAAGTCGGAATCGGAATGGACGACCCAACTGCTGATCTGGTCTGGGGTTTCACAACGAGAGAACCTCAGGTAATCCCGACGACTTCGCATCTGCCGAGAGCATCTTCTACATGTTCTAGGTAGCTAGCCAGCGTTGGATGCTTTGGTTGTTCTGGTCGGGAGCCTTTTCTACAGCTCGGCTTTCGGAACGGTTCTACGGCACAGCCAGCTTCACCGTTTTCTCAAAACGAACAGCACTAACAGAGGAAAAGAGGGGCCCGTTTTTAGGTTCCCGAGCTCCTTGGTTTTTTAGCCCTTTTCTCCGTAAACATAAGGTTAACGTATATTATAAGCGAGTGGATCATATAAGCGAGTGGATCAGTTTCCCCTA